AAAATCTTACAAAGAAAAGAAAAAAGGAAACACTGAGATAACACCTTTGCAGTACCTGAGACTCCAGCCAGCGGAAGAAGAGGAGAGAAACAGCGTGGGCCAGGATGCTTGAGAGGCGGAGAATTTCCTGATGCTGAATTCTGACAGGTTTATTTTCAGAGCTGGTCCAGGCATCAGCTCAGCCAGGGGAAGCCCCTGGTGCTCTGGGTCTGCTGCTAGCACAGAGCAGAGGCGCCGGGGAGGAGGGAGGGCAAGAAAAGGAGATAGAGACAAATGATCTAAAGTCTCCTTCTTCGGGATGTCAGCTCCACGTGTCTGTTTTGGGTCTTCAGTACCTAGCGTAGTGGCTGGCACATAGCAGATACTCAGAAAATATTTGAGGGGAAAAGAAAATAATACCGAGGGGGCTAGAGTTCCGGTACCGGGAAGCTGTTAGGGAAGAGAGTAATCGAACCCCTCAGACTGGAGGGGGAAGGGGGCATCCCCAGTTCCTGGAGGGTTAGAGTGAGGCCCCCAGGGATAAGATGCGAGGAAGACTCGGCTGTATGGGCCTCCGGGAAGTGTGGCCTGAGACAATCCCCAGGCAATTCCTCGTTTGCAAAAACGTGTTAAATAATTCCCGCCTCGTGAAATGACTGAGAAGATTGAATAAGGTCCTACTGAAAGTGTCAAGGGCAGGACCCTGAGTTCTAGAAAGCAGAGGCCACAGGGAGGTGACGGCGTATGTGGCTTGTTCAGGGCTGGCCCGTGACACTCTGTGCTCAGCACTCCGTGCTCTCTTCCCCCATCTGCTGGCCCAGCACAGTGGATCCAGCTGAGAACTCAAATCCACAGCTGGGAGATTGCCAGGGGGAGGGAGGCTGGTTTGTGAATGGCAGCTTGAGCTGAACCCTCCCTCCACCCCACACAGACCATGGGAAACTGCTAGAGTGCAGCCCACCGTTGCGCTGCCAGTCTGCGCTAGCTGCTCAGAAACAATTATGAGCTGGGAGAGTATGAAATGGTGACATGGAGATTGCCTTAAAAATCACACTCGAAGACAGCATGCTAAAACGAAAAGTGACACAACCTTGATAACCACTGAAAATGGACTGGTTGCGCAAGCAGTGCATGAACGGACAGCCACCTTCTCAGTGAGACGTGCTCTGCCCAGCCTCTGCAATTTCACTCTCCATAAAACATGCCTACGACACCAGCACTCTGGGAGGCTGAGGCAGGAGGATTGAAAGTTTGAGCCCAACCAGAGCAATTTAGTGACTCAGTAAGACCCCGTTACAAAAAATAAAAGGGCTTGGGATTTAGCTCTGTGTGAAAGCCCTGGATTTAATCCCTACTGTTGCCAAAATAAACAAATAAATAAATAAATAAATACCCACCAGTCCTGACATTGCATATATTTGAGACAAGGCCTCGCTATGTAGTCCAGGCTGGCCTGACACTTGAGGTGGTGCCTCTGACTCACTCTCCAGTGCTGGGGTTACAGGTGTGCGCCACCACACCCAGCTCTTTCATTTTCCATACCCCTTTCCCGACTTTTCTTCTAGGCTCTTATCAAACGTATTATATATTGTGTCTCAACTTCTTGCCTGTTTTCCCAATAGAATGTAAACTCCACGGGGAAGGATGACTCTATTTTATTCATGACTCTACTGTCAACTTCTGGAATAATGCCCGCCATTATCTGTGTGCTCAATAACTATTGCTGAATACATGCATGTCTACAAGGAAATATAAAATTAAAATGTTTCTTACAAAATTTTTTGGGGGTATTGGAGATCAAACTCAGGACCTTATGCTTAGGAGGCAGACAATGGAACCACTGAGCTAAATCCCTGGCCCTCTGACAAATATTTAATGGCATGAGAAAATGCTTCTATCTTGAGATCATATGAACTGGATATGCAAGTTATCCTAGCTTTGTTTTTAAAGAGTTGGTATAGGAATAATACTGTTATGTTTTTTAAAAACCTGGAGAATGTATAGTCCAAGTCATCAATAGAGCTTGGCTTTCTTTTTAAACTTGCCTTTTTGCAGGATATAATTAAGATGTATTTCTAAAGTTTCTACATTTACCGAATGATGGGTTTCTAACAAAAGCATGCATATTTGATAATTTAAAAAGTAAAATGTATATGCTTAGAAAAAAACCAAATATGACTACATAACAGTGGCTATTTCTGTGTGATGGGAACTTCAATAACACAGTGTAGCCAAATGAAGTGGCTTTATCTTTTTGATGGGGGACAGTTGTTTTTTTGAGACAGGGTCTCACTATGTAGTCCTTGCTAGCTGTGAACTCACCATTGTAGCCCAGGCTGGCTGTATACTCATGGTGATCCTCCTGCCTCAGCTTCCTGAATGGTGGGATTATAAACATGCACCACTACGCCCAGCCCAACTATAGTGGCTTTAAAGAACATTTTAAACTGGCACATGCATGTAATTCCAGTCCTCAGAAAGCTGAAGCAAGAAAATCACTGTGAGTTTGAACCCTGCCTGGGCTACATAATGAGTTCAAGGCCAGTCTGAACTGCATAGCGAGATCCTGTCTCAAAAAAGCAAAATAGGGACAGGGCTTTAGCTTAGTGGTGCCACCGCCTACATCACAAGCACAAGATCCTGACCAAGTTCAATCCCTGGTACCAAAAAAAAAAAAAAAAAAATGGGGGGAAGGGCTCAGCTGGATGGTTCATCTGGTAAGGCATCAGCTGGGAGGTTCCACTTCCAAAATGGCTTCTTCATTTATAGGTCTGATGCCTTGGTATTTCCTGGCTTCATTCTTTCCACATGGACTTAGCCCCCAGTGATGTCCTCTGGTGGCTGTGCTTCTCATAGTATGTGGTCCCAGGATAGCTGCACTTACATAGCAGCTGGCTTCTAACAAAGTATAAGCTACAAGGTCACACAAGGGCTTTGCATAAAACTAACATACTACACTTCTATCATGTTCTGTTGGTCCAGGTGGTATCAGGACCTGGCCAGATCCCAAAGGGGGAAGAAACAGAATCCCAGCTCACCACCCCTGGTACTGGGGACTGAACCCGGGGCTTTTGCCCTGAGCTATATTCCCAGCCCTTTCAGTTAAGATAGGGTTTTTTTTTTTTTTTGGTTTTTTGAGACAGGGTCTCACTATGTAGTTGAGACTGACCTGGAACTCACTATGTAGCCCAGGCTGGTCTCAACTCACAGTGATCCTCCTGCCTCAGCTTCCCAAGTGCTGGGATTACAGGCGTGTACCACCACCCCTAGCCCTAAAATAGGGTATTGCTAAATTGGGTATGAACTTGTGATCCTTCTGCCTCAGCCTCTCAGAAGGCTGGGATCACATTCTCAGAATGCCTGTGCCACCATTCCCAGTTCTTCATGAGGACAATGACAAGGTTACACTGCATGGTAGCATGTGAGATGGGAGACACTGTCGAAGAGATCTTTGGGAAATAGCATCCTACCACAACAGCACTACAGGAAATTATTTTTCTTCACTGTACCTTTTTGCATTCTTCCAAATTTTGTACAATAAGGTATGCATCAATTTCATAATTAAAAAAAAAATGCTATTGGGCTGAGGATTTAGCTCAGTGGTGCCACCACCTGCCTCCCAAGTACAAGGTCCTGAGTTTGATCCCTGGTAAAAATTAAAAATGCTATTAAATGAAACATGAATCCAAAGCATGCACCCAAACATGAGCAGTTGTTCTCTGCCCCTAGTTCATTACTTTCAATGCTATGCCCTGTTTGTAGGTGGTCAATTCAAATGGGGGAGGGAAGGGGCTGTCATCATCATGAAGCCATTCCTTGAATGCTTGGCAGCCTTATTTTTTGGATTTCCTGATTCATTCTACATGAAAGACTCTTTCCCTCAGCGCTTTTCCTTTTTTTTTTCCTCTTTGAAACTTGATTCCTTTTGGCCATGACCACAGTTGAAGAATATCTACCACTCTGATTTATATTAACAAGTATTCACTGAGCACCCGGCACTGAGCTGACCCAAGAGTCAGCTGAATAGTGGTAAGGTTAAACATGTTCAGGGCCAGGGATTTAGCTCAGTGGTTCTGCCGCCTGCCTCATAAGCACGAGGCCCTGAGTACAATCCTGGTACCAAAAAAAAAAAGCAAAAAAAACAAAAAAACAACTTCAGATTAAACATGTTAGTGTGTAAAGCAAAATACTGAAGCTAGGAATTACAAGGTACACAAAAATGACAATTTATTGCCTCTGAGCTTACATTCAAGGGTAGAAACGAGAAAATCATCAAGCATATTATATAAAATAAAAGGAAATAACCCTGAAAATCAATGTGTCAATGAAATGCGAAACCCAGAGAAACTGGTTGGAGGAGAAAAGGCTTTGGGGAATACAGCAGAAATGAGTTAGAAAAATCATGGCTGATTGACAAGAGAGAGTCAAGGAATTTCAGGCTGAGAAAATAGTAAGACAAAATATGAAAATAGATGGTCTAGGACTGGGGATTGCCTCACAAGTGCAAGGTCCTGAGTTCGATTCCCAGTACAAAAAAAAAAAAAAAAAAAAAAAACGGAAAATGCGTTGTCTGTTAGTAGTAAAGGGCAGTTGGGAGTCAGACAATGCACAAGATCAGCAATGTGGGCCATTCTCTAGACAGCTATCCCTGGAGCTTTTTGGACAGACTTCCACTGGCGGGCGGAACTAATGCCTACCAGTTAACTGATCAACGAACTCATTTTAAATGCATTTCACCATGACCACCCACCTCACGGCAACCACTTGCATTTCCCACTCCTCCCTCTCCCTTATTGGCGGAACGGGAACGTCCCGTGGGGACTCAGACCCACCAGAGAGGGTTCCAGGCGTTCTCACCCCGTGGTGCCCGGATCCAACCTGCTCTGCCCTGCCCAGATGCGGCAGCATGGCTGGATATTCAGTCCAAGGCTCCACTGCTCCAAAGCCTTTCAAAGACATCGCAATCCCTTCCCAAAGAACTACTGACACACCGAGAGTTGTACAAAATCCAAAATAATTTTATTCAGATTTTCAGAGTTTTGCTTCCACAAGGTGTTCGGCAAACATGCTGAGGCGACAGAATGTCTAGTTGGTCACGACATGCAGCGCTGACCACTGGACGGATGACAGCAGCGACCACGCCCACCTGAGCTAGGGGCCCCAGAGCACGGAGGGGTCTGTGGGGACACACCGAACCGCACAGCTCTCAGCAACCTGAGGTAGGTCTCTTTACAGTACAAAAAACTTCTATGCCAGTGTGAGACACTGATTCTTAGCAAGAGCTGCTGAAAGTTGCAGACTTTGGAGAAGGGGAGACTGTGCAGCAGCTGCAGTGAGGAGGACAGAGGCCCACGGGACCCCGAACCCCGTCCCTGAGCTGCAGAGGCGTGGGAACAGGCAAACCGAAGTACCACCTGAAGAAGCAGCAGCCGGCCCCTGGCTGGCACAGACGGGTCTCGGAGCTGGAGAGCTCTGCGCAGTGGCCAGCTTTAGGAACCTGAGGCAGTGGGACACTGTGCACAGACTGGTTCTGGTTTAGAGATAACGGTGAGAGGAACAGCAGGAGAGGAGCTCGCCCTCCGGGGAAAGTGCCTGTGACGGAGCGAGGGAGACATCTCCTGACAGGACAGGGGGTGACACCGGGACACAGAGCAGGAGCCCTGAGAATTCATGGCGCTCTGCAAGGCCTCCCGCAGCCTGCACGGCCCGCCTTGGCCCTCGTCCCTGGAGTGGTACGGGGAGGCTGCAGAGGGGCCACAGAGGGCCCATGATCGCCACCTGTCTTCCTCTGGACACCCAGAAGCCCAGCACCGTGAAACCAGCTAGAGAACAAAACGCTACCCTTCCTACCACCTAATAGCAAAACCAGATCTCTAGTACAGCACACTGTACAAAACTGATAGAAAGGAATATGCACTGTTATTAGCACAGTGCTTATTTTAATATAAAATAAACAGCTTACATTTTCACTGTAAATATAGGCTATGTACAGAATTATATATAGATATAGCTACACGTATAAAGCTTCATTATAGGCCTCTGATACATTTATAGTAACGGTTCCCTGAACCTTTTAGAGTGCAATTAAGGACAAAAACTAAATCTTGTTTACATGAATATGGAATAAATACAATAATCAAAATAGGACTCTCCCTAAAAGTGAAACACACAAGCCAATCCTGAACTGCTATGCGGAAGATAAAATCGGGAAAGGCAAGGTTTCGGCAGGACACGAAGAGGGGCCCGCCCCGGGCAGGGATGGCGACGCCCCGAGAGGAGACCGCATCTGCGGGGCGCTGTGTTAGCCCTTGACAGCCACCTTGTTTTCTGCAGCCGCGAACATGGCGTAGAACCGGGAACTGTCATTGGACAGGAGGACCGACGGGGTGTCAAACTCCACCACCTGCAAAGGAGGACACGCGTCAGGGTGCGGCCAGGTCAGTGGGTGATTCCTAGGGCTCACCGGGCGCGAGTGTGGGCCAAGCCCGGAGCCCTGGGATGGCGCCACGAAGAGCGAGCTCCCCGACCTCCTCGTACAAATCCCGAGTCTTTCAGCCTGGGGAGTGAAGGAAGGGGTCAAGAGGTCTACAAGTACAGGGATGGGACGGGCATCCAGGCTCACGGCAAAGCAAACGGACCTAACCCTAAAGACAAGAAGGCGGAGCGCAGCACGCCCAGCGGGGAGGAGAAAAAGGAGTCAGGGACGGACTTGTGCGCGGCCGCAGAGATCAGCCTGCAGGAGGAGGATGCAGCAGCGCCTCCTCGGGTCAGAGGCGGACACGCAGGCAGCGCCTTCCCAGCCCCCGCCGGCGGCAGGCGCGCGGGAGGGAGACCCAGCAGGGCGGACACCGGGCAGCTGCAGGGGACGCAGAGGCACCCGCTACCTCCCACTCCGCCTGCGCCTGCTGCTCATCGCGGCTGTGACCGGGCTCGGAGCCCCATCCCTCCGTGGAGACGCCGTGCGGTGTGGGGAAAGCGCTGGTGGGGATGAGCCAGTGGGCTGCGGTGCTCATCTCTGGGGCAAATGACTTGTGATCTTATTTTTACCTTCATGCTTTGTTTTGTTTTTTAGGTTTTCCTAAAAAATAATGACCTGGCTGAAATGTTTCATGGGTACCTTGTCTTCCATCACTAATAACCACGGAGCTGCAGCACCCCTTTTACTGAGTGTTTATTACATGTCAGGGACCTAGTGCCTGCAGCATGTAATCAATCCTCGAGGCCACTGGGAGCTTCAGAGGGAGGAGCTCATCCTATCTCAGGGCAACAGGAAGTAGCAGTTCTTTAATTAACAAGAAAAGAACCTCAATCACTCCCCAACCCCAAAACATGGAGCCACTCCTAGAAAGACAGTGGGCTGGGTTTGTGTCTTTAAAAAAGAGTTAGTTTCAGAAGCTGTTCTCCACCCCGTCTACCTTATTTATTATAGTTAACACCAACACACGCAGTAGTAGCTCTGTGTATCTGATAGAAACAGAATCCCAATAAACATTTAGGGTAACGAGAGTAAAGTCACAAAGAATACTGCAAAATAGCTGCAGGACTGAGGAGAAAAATCTTTATCCCTCTGTATTTTCTCAACTCAGCCTTCAAGGCCAGGCTGAGCCACCCTGTTCAGTGCTTTTCTCAATGTTTCCACAGAGTGGGCTGTGCTGGGTAGAGCACTGGCTTCGCAGTCACTGGCCAGAGTCCAGACCCAACTCTTCCACCTCCTGCAGCCCGAGGTAGGCCAGGTCCTGAGAGTCTCCATCTCCGCCTCTGTAAAGCAGAGCAACACTGTCTACTTCCCAACTACACAAGGAGCGATGCAGCCTGAAGCAGGAAGTAGAGTGCACAACACACAGGAAATAACGTGGTTACTATGGTGCCACTGCAGTTGTTATCTGCAGTACTGGGGGCTGAACTCAGGGCCTTCGCACTCCTGGCCCTTTTTAGTTTTTGAGACGGGGTCATGCTAAGTTGCTAAATTACCCCGACTGGGCTTGGACTTATGATTGTCCTGCCTCAACCTCCCGGTGTGCTGGGATTACAGGTGTGCACCACCACGCTGGGCTTAGGATGCCACTGTTATCAATGACAGGAGTCAGACAACCCCTGACACATGGCTTGTTATTAACGGCCAAGTCGTTAACTTATTTCCATTCCAGACACACAGAGGAGTTGTCTGTTCAACGCGGATTTACTTCACAACTACTTGTAGTGCTGAGCATGGCGCCCCTTAGTCGCAGGGTGCTCTCTAGGACACAGGGCTTTGCAGTCACCACAGGTGAGGCGGAGGAGCTACCAGGGAGGCACAGCTGCTGCTGAGGCAACCTGGGGGCTTCATGAAGCTTCTTCCCACTCAGGGTGCCCAGGTAGCCGGGTCTGTGCGTAACAGACGAGGACTACGCAGAGGGGACACGAGGCTGCCTGGCACCAAGGGCACCTGCAAGGGGAGGTGGGAATGGAAGGGGCCGGGCCAGGGCCCGGCTGTGGGAAAGTTGTGCCCGGCTGGCACGGGCTGGCTGGTCGCAGTAAGCCTTGGGCGATCCTCGAGAAGGAATCCCTACTTCCGCGCAGCAGAACAAGTGGTAAAGGAAACGAGAGAGAGGTGTGCAAGGCCACCGCCCGGACCTCTCAGTCGTGTCCTCCCAACAGCTCTTGTGCTGAACCCTGTGAAGGTGGCCACCGGCCCAGCCGGCAGAGGCCGGTCTTCCTCCCCGATGGTGACGGTGCCACGCGCCAGGCCGAGCGCCCTGAGGGCTCGTACCTGCCCCTGTGCCAGCACCATGATCCTGTCAGAGCCGAGAACCGTATGCAGGCGATGGGCGATCGTCAGCATGGTGCAGTCTGCAAATGCTTCTCGGATGGTCTCCTGGATCAGCAAGTCTGTCTCTGTGTCCATGGCGGCTGTGGCCTCGTCTAAAATCAGAATCTAACCAGCAAAACCAAAGAGGAAGAGGGATCCGATCAATTCCTTACGTGTTCTGGTCTATTTTAGTCACATTAAAATACAGTTCGTTAAACTTTATAGCATGTATTGTTCCTTTTCAGTACACACACATGTAAAAATACCGTCTTATAGAACTGATGTAGGGGCTGGGGATTTAGCTCAGTGGTTCTGCCGCCTGCCTCACAAGCACAAGGGCCTGAGTTCGATCCCCGGTACCAAAAACAAAAACAAAAACAAAAAAAACTGATCTAGCTGGGTATTTAGCTCAGTGGTTCTGCCGCCTGCCTCACAAGCACAAGGGCCTGAGTTCGATCCCCGGTACCAAAAACAAAAACAAAAACAAAAAAAACTGATCTAGCTGGGTATTTAGCTCAGTGGTTCTGCCGCCTGCCTCACAAGCACAAGGGCCTGAGTTCGATCCCCGGTACCAAAAACAAAAACAAAAACAAAAAAAACTGATCTAGCTGGGTATTTAGCTCAGTGGTTCTGCCGCCTGCCTCACAAGCACAAGGGCCTGAGTTCGATCCCCGGTACCAAAAACAAAAACAAAAACAAAAAAAACTGATCTAGCTGGGTATTTAGCTCAGTGGTTCTGCTGCCTGCTTCGCAAGTGCAAGGTCCCAAGTTTGATCCCCAGTACCAAAAATAAATAAATAAAATAGATTAAAGAACTGATCTAACCCACATTTGTCTTGATTTCCACAAACAAGACACACAGAGCACTGGCTCTGACATGTACAGGAGCCTTTCTGGACCTTCCCTTTTTCTGTTTCTATGAAACAGCCATCAGATGACCTAGAAATCACTTGCTTTTGTTTTTGGTGGTACAGGGGACTGAACTGAGTCTCTCTGCCCCGAGAGACCCTCCAGCCCCTTTCTGAGACTGGCTCTTGCCAAGTTACCCAGGCTGGCCTTGAACTTGCAATCCTGTCGCCTCAGCCTCCCAAGCCTCTAGGGTTACAGGTGTGCCCCACCGTGCCTGGCTGTCTTGTAGCCTTTAAATCTTCTGTCTGTGGCCTACAGTACTACAGCCACACACTGAAACAAAAGCTGTCCTTGTATTCTGAAGGCATAAGAAAGTCAAAAAGTAAAAGATCTCCAGAACCCACCCAGGAAGGAGGTCAATTCAGAAACATGGGCCAGGCTTGGAGGCCGAGGACCTGGGCCTCTGGGCCAGGTGCACCCCGACATTCCTGCTCTTCTCTGCGCTCCCCGAGGCGCCCACCTGACACTGCGCCTTCCAGTGCCTCCTGGTGTCCTCACCTTGCAGTGGCGCAACAGGGCCCTGGCGATGCACAGCAGCTGCCGCTCCCCCACCGAGAAGTTGTCACCGTTCTGCATCACTTCTGACTCCAGTTTCAGAGGTAACTGAGCAACCTGGGGAGGAGGCAGTAGAGAAACAGGGGTTAAAGAGCCAAATGAAGCTGCTCAGCATTCTCAAGCAGATGACAGAATGATGAACGCAGCCGGACCCCTCTGAAGAAGGGGCGCGTGAGCAGCACCCACTGTCTGGGACGCTCCGGTCTCACACTCGCGATGCTTCTGGCTTCGTGTCACTGGAACAGCCTAGAACTCCAACATGCACAGGTCCCGGTCCCGTCAGACAGCCCACTTCCTGTTCTGCAAATCTGCTCACACAAGGGGAGAAGGCACGCAAACCCCCACTCCACAGGCCAAAAGCCACCAGCAGCAGGCCCACGCCTGCCACGCCTCTCCCCGTGTGAGCCGCAGAGCCTCTGTTCTGGCCATGAATGGTCTGAGGAAGCCACAGTGAGAGAAGCAAGCAGGGCTGAGTTAGCGGAACCAGGGGAGGCCTCAACCCAGGGCAGTGGAGCCATCTGCAGGCCGGCGGCTGCCAGGGTCTGCGATCCATGTGCACACAGTGCATTTCCTGCACACTCCGTAAACTACATGTCTATCCCAAAGTAAGTTAGACTGTTAGTGAGTAACAAAAATTAAAAGCATCACGGATCTTTTGTGTGTGTGTGGTTATGACTTGCATAAAAGCATCACTGATCTTTAAATGGTTGTCATTAATTTCTCTCAGTTAGCCAAGGGAGTACAATGCCAACATAACCACGGGCAGTGTAGGAGGTGCAACAAGAACAGACCAAGTTTTAGTTGTTGTCTGAAATGCCCGGAAAGCCCTGCTGGGAAGCACTCTTCCACAGACATCCTAGAGGTACAGGGGAAGGTGACTGTGGGCCACAGGAAGCCAGAGCAGACTAAGGAATGAGAGCAGCTCCTTACGTCATGTCCCCTCCCACCTCCCCTGCTCTTCACTTACACGTTTTTTTTTTTTTTTTTTTTAATTGAATTCATTGGTACATTCTAGGTAGACAGTACAGTTACATTCATTACTGGGATCTTGTACCTTTACATGCCAGGTCTTGGTTCTCATTTTTTCCCCTTGTCCCCCCACCTTCAAACACTTAAATTCCATTTTTACATTTTCTCGTATTTTCTTCCTTTTCCCTTATTCCCCTTTCCCTATCCTCCCTGTCCCTACACCTTTGGTTCTTTTCTTCCTATTTCATATTGCTAATTGCCCCATTAGGATCTTGAGTACTATTTTAGTTTTTCACACCAGAGAAACTATTCGGTATTTGCGTATGTGTGACTTACTTATTTCACTTAGGAGTATATCCTCAAAAACTTACACATTCTTTCATGTGCGTCCTTTCTAGGGCATCCCAGATCTGGTCTTCGGTGTATTGGTTGAAGGGGTCCAAATTTGATCTAGCAAAAAGCATAACAGGAATTCTCAGAGGTCAGTGTTTAAGCAACCAATGTGCAGTGGTTATCTGTGGTCAAAGCTAAACCCGTGCACTAGGGAAGGAGGAAGCAGGATGGAGGACTCCAGCCTGGTGGTCAGAGATGGCTCACGCCCATCAGCCACAGGAGGATATCTGAGAGCTGACTGGGCTTTCCTTTCCTCTCTATAAAACCTGACTTAACTTTTATTGTTTTTATTATGTGAAAAGTAAATCACAGAAAAAATTTAAAAACAGATACATCGCCAGGCGTGGTGGTGCACGCCTGTAATCCCAGCACTCGGGAAGCTGAGGCAGGAGGATCGCTGTGAGTTTGAGACCAGCCTGGGCTACATAGTGAGTTCCAGGGCAGTCTGAACTACATAGTGAGACCCTGTCTCAAAAAACCAAAAAATAAAAATAAAAAATAAAAACAGATACATCAAAAAACAAAATGATACCCCTAGAAATAAACACTGTTCACGTTTTGGCACATAGGCTTCTGGATTTTTTTCTCTGCATGCATGTTAAAACACATCTCTAAGTACAAACAGAAAAAAATGAGGCCTTTTGTCAGCAGCATTTTCAATGAAAGGCAAAAGTTTAAGATGCCTTTTGTTCTTTACCACGTAAAACTATATTTTTCTGGGAAGAGTGTATTTGATAAAACTTTGTAATTCCTTAAGTTTAGACTGATCTTGCGTGACCTGGTTATGGCAGTGAGCACAAGGGCTCCGCCCAACACAAGAAATGCCAACACAAACTCTCCAGGACAGTTGGCCCTGGGAGATGGGGGATCTGGGTTTCCTTACTGCTCTGGACGAAACGTGTGCACTTGGGGAACTCTGGTGTTGAATCCACTGTCTCCCCAGTGGGAAGCAACTGGGTTCGAGGAGGTCAGGAGAAGGGGTCCAGGGAGATCGGCGCCCTCAGAAGAGAAGACACCGAAGCGTGCTCGCTCTCTGCACAGGCGTGTACTCCGAGGAAAGGCCACGCTCGGGAACTGTGAGCAGCATTTCCCGTTTACATCATGCAGCCTGCGGCATTTTATTACAGCACCTGAGGAGCTGAGGGCGTCTACTCAGCCTCCTTAGATACCAGTGCGTTCAAACACCATTTCCAAAGAAGTGAGGGCACTCAGCTTTGACCCCTTACCAGTCCAATTATTTAAATACAGGATGATCAAACATTGCTTTCATTAATTTTACAGTGTCACGGGAAATATAAAAGGGACAATTTTATCAAATTTATCCAACGTAAGAATCAACCGGTTGAAATGACACCTGCCCGAGTGATACTCAGGATAAACTGCTAAGCAGTGAAACACAAGTCTGAACACTGCTAATGGTCCCTGGAAATTTAGTTGGTACCAATTTTTCTTTTTTGCAAACTATTACAAATGAAAGAGGAAATGGCAATATTACTTTTAGGGTGATTTTAAAGAAGTCCAATCTATGCCAATTACACATTAAAACATTTTTATTTTCAAAGAGAGGTAGCCTGAATGGAAATGGATTTAGACTGAGAACTCACAGTTTTTAGGAAGCAGAACTTAAGGGTAAGGGTGGGATAACATAGTAAAGGTGACTTCCTTCTAGGTTACTATTTTTTACTATTTTAGCAAGCCAGGAGAATTTCCTTTGGTGTAGAAGCTGGCAGATTCCAGAGAAAGCATCAAATGAAGACAGGGACGAAGGCTGGGGCACACAGTGGCACGGCGCTTGCCTAGCCTGCATGAGGCCCTGGCTTCTATTCTCTGCACACAGACAAAGCAGGGCATGGATACCACGAAATGAAAAAAACGTGAGCAGGAGCAGCCATAACGCCTGCAAGCCATTCTCAGAACTGCAGCTTTCAGAAGCCCAGGAGAGCCGAGTACGAGGATGAGGAGGAGGATGGCGTCTGCTACCACGTACTGAATGCTTGGGGGCGGGCTCTGTGCTGACATTATTTGTATGGATTTACTTCACCCACACAACAAATCTTAAAAACCTTCCCATCTCCAGGGCGAGGACCAGGTATAGGAGTAATGTATCCATTCGAGGGGCAGAGATCTGAGCCCAAATCTCCCTACCGCTTTATAACCCACGGCACGGCTGGCCACCTCTCACTTCCACGACCCGAGGCACACGGCGTAGGGAAGGCAGGGGACCCAAGGCCTCCTGAGGCAGGAAGGACCTGGGGCTAGGGCCTCACCTGACGGTGCCACTGAACAGCACCGGCTCTTGAGGGATGATGGAGAGCTTACTCCGCAGGTCAGCGAGACCGATGTCACTGATTCTCACTCCATCGATCTTGATGCAGCCTCCAGACAACTCCACCAGCCGGAAGAGGGCCATCCCCAGAGAGGACTTCCCTGGTGACCAGAAGACAGGCAGGAAAGAAAGTGACTCTGTTAGTGACATCTGGAAGACAAAACCAGTTCATCCTCAGGGGAAAATCTTTTTTTTTGTTCTAGTCAATCATGATTTTGACGGAGATAATGCATAAAACCACAGGAAGAGAAGAAAATGTAGCTACACCTACACATCAGACATTTAAATCCCAGAGTGGCAGCCTGAGGGATGGGGGGCACCGGTCCACTTCCGAGTGTATGAACCGGAAGCACCAGGTTCACCTGAGAACTGGCACACAGGGTCAGTGCTCCCCGAGCAGAGTCAGGGCTAGGGTTGGGGGCAAACCCACCCTAGAGGCCCAGAGGTCTTCTGCCCCGTCCCGTGACTGGGGCTGAGGGAGAAGCCAAGCAGGGCTTGTCACGGCCGCAGCAGCGGCGGGAGGAGGCTCTGGGAACACGGACAGAGGTGGCTTGGCTCAAGTGAGTGAGTGGCTGTGATGCCTTCCGAACGACAGGGAATTGCGGCAGAGAAGCAGGTCTGGTGGACAAATTAATGAGCTCTGCTGCAGGGATGGCTGAAGTTTAATTGGACCTGCATTTGAAAAGTTACACAAATGAAGATGTGTAGCCAGGGATTTAGCTCAGTGGTTCCGCTGTCTGCCTCGCAAGTGCAAAGACCCAAGTCTGATCCCCGGTACAAATAAAAAAAAAAAAAAAGATGTGGAAAGTACTTGTACAAACTCCTGCAAAATCAAACTAATCATTATGTGCTGCAAACGTGGACAAAAAGAAAAGGGAAGAAAAAAGAGAAGATACCAAGGAAAGTTCAAGCAAATTTTTAAAAAAGAGGAGACGCTTTGCAATACAGGAGGAAGATCATGTCCATCTCTCAAAAAGTCCTCCACTTTACTTAGCAGCCCAGTCCTCTGATACTAGGCGTTTGCTCAACAGAAAACTTACAATAATAATGTTGTGGTACAGATCTCTGGGCTCAGAGTTTACCTGCAGAGCAGACGATTCCCTTGGGGTAGATTCTCAGGACTAAAATTACTATGCATTTCAAAGGTGCTCTCTCTATGCAAACACACACACAAATCCCCCAAATGAACAAAACCACTTTCTGCTCCCAGGTTTGCAGTCCAGTTTTACAGCACTCCGCCCTTGCTCCACTTCTTGGTGGGGCTCTGGCTGCTGACACTTCTGCCTTTCTGTTCTCAGACTCCTCGTGAGGGCTCCGAGGAGCTCAGCAGGACCGTCTCCAAGGGCGCCGACCGCCACACTCTGACTGTCAGGGTTTGTCCACTGGGCAGGGTCCCGGTAAACCACTGCCGGGCACGTGAGGCCCAAGATGGCTGCACTGCGGTTCAGGCTGTGGGCGGGTGATCTCCAGTGGACACTGAGTCCACCCCGGGGGGATTCCGGCACAGGCGCACCTTGTCGGTCTCGGCCTAGGTCATGCCCAGCACACGGCCACTACGTGCATGGTGGAGTAATGCAGACTGCCGTGAGAGCTGGCGGAAGGCTTAGCCGAGCAGCTGAGAGTAAGGCTCATCCAGACAATTCCACGACTCTGTCTCCTCTTCAGGCCACCGAATCTCAAATGACCCTCCCCTGTCTGAACTGGTGACAAGACAACCACCCAGCGGGAAGCCCAGTGAACACCCATCTTCCTAACACACCATCCTCGCAGGCGCCTACCAGAAATAAGTGGGGAAACCTGGTCCGTACCAGGATGGCTCTAGAAATGAGTGACTCTACTCAGAGCTGGGGAACTTGGTCATCACACCCTACCTGATGCAAAGAAGGGAGGGAGCAGCTCCCTCAGGACCGAGGCACTTTAAGATGTAAGTGTAGGCTAGGTGTGGTGGCACACATCTGTAATCCCAGCACTCTGGAAGGCTGAGGCAGGAGGACTGAAAATTCAAGGTCAGTCTAGACAATTTAGCAAGACCCTGTCTCAAAATTAACAAGATCCAATAGAAAAGGGCTGGGGACATAGTGCAGCGTGAAAGCCAAGTTCAATCCCTAGTATGCAATAAATAAAATAATAGATACGGCATGGGCAGGAATGGTGTTCAAATAAACAGGTCAGTTGTCTTCCTTGACAAAACGTGCTGGGTTTGGACCACCAGACTGGGGGTCCTCTCACTGCCTCTAGGCTACCTTGGCACCAATGTACTATGCCAGTAAGGAAGGCCACAGGGTCGGTCTTAGGACAGTGTCCTTGGTCATGGCCATGCCAGAGCAGGCCCACGAGCCCTGGAATAGGCTAAGTCAGGACTGCAGTTTAGATTCTGCAAGTCAGACTATCTATGGTATTTTTTTCATTTTTTGAGACAGGGTGTGGCTATGTAGTTCAGGTCGGCCCTGAACTCACTAGGTAGCCCAGGCTGGCCTCAAACTTGTATCGATCTTCCTGCCTCAGCCTCCCAGAGTGCTGGGATTACAGGCATGCATTCATTTTTCTTCTGTCAGTATCTACCGTTTATTTTATTTTATTTTTTTGTTTATTCATTTATTCACTTATTTTTTTTATTGTTTTTTTTCTTTTTATTGAGGTTATTGGTACAATCTAGGTATACAATACAATTACATTCATCATTGGGATTCTGTACCTTTACATAATAGGTCTTGATTCTCATTTTTCCCCTTGGCCCTGCCCTCCCTTCACCCCCTCCTCCCCTCCCCATTTACAAACACTTTATTTCCATTTTTTCAGTTTCTCATATTTTTTCCTCTCCCTTATTACCTTTCCCCCACCCTTTCCACTTTCCCTACACCTTTAGCCCTTTACTTCCTATTTCACATTATTAATTATCTCATTAGGATCCCGTGTACTATTGTAGTTTTTCACACCAAAGAGACTATTCGGTATTTCAGTTAAAGAAATCTCTGTATGAACATTAAAAATAGGGAATCCTAAAATAAAACTAAAAAGGAAAGTAAAAGAGAAAAGGCAATGATGTAACATCAAAATAATCTTTAATTCTGAGATGAAAATGGTCCTTGAACATATTTAAATTGCTTCTCTCTCTTATAGTCTTATCCTATTCTTTTTTTTCATTATTTAGAGAATACTTTATTAGTTTCTGTAATCAAACCCATGTAGATATGACCTTACATATTTAGTACGATGCGTTACCCCTGTACACATGGAAAAAAAATAAAAATAAATTAACATTTCTAAACCAATATGGTCATCCATTTCTGTACAATGCCAAGTCAACACAGTAAATTGGGATGACTTTTTCCAAAGTTGGCAGCACCATTAAAGTTTCCCAAAATTCAATTTATATATAAAGACTAATAATAGTATGTCATGCATCGATAGCAGCAACAGCTTTTCCAGGTTCTGCAGTCATCTGAACAAAATTATAGACATTCAGCACATTCCATTAAAAAAAAAAAAAAGAAAAGAATAATATCCAGACAACAGCAAAGTTCTGTTGCTGTTGTGGTACCTGGCACCATTTTTTCTATTAGCCTCGTAATCATCATCTGGAAAGAGAACATTCTAGAGCAATATCATTAAATATAGCTCTGATAAAGCATGGTCCCTAGGATGTATCATAAAGCAAGTACCTACCGTTTAATAAGGTCCTGGTGAGCATTTGATCTCTCGCATTTGCATTAAAAGGAAACCACAGGAAAGGACACCAGTGGCCCTTCAGGAGAACAGTGCACCCAGGGGCCATGGCAGCAGGGGGTCTGAGGGAGAGGGCAAAGCAAGGGCTTCTGGGACAGCTGCCCTCCCGGCCGAAGATCATCTCCCAAACACACCCAGAGGAAGTGTCTTATTTTGATGAGAGGTAAATCCCTCAAACAAAAAGCAGGTATGGATTTTTTTTCTCCTAAGATTTTTTTGTTTTTGTTTCTTTTTGTATAGTTCAGGCTGGTCTTTAACTCACTATGTAGCCCAGGATGGCCTCAAACACACCAATCCTCCTGCCTCAGCTTTCTGAGTGCTGGGATGATAGGCACGCGCCACTACACCTGAGGCCTAAGAAGATTTTTTTTTAAATAAATTGGCCAAAGATAAAAAGTCCCATTAAAAAAAATTCTTTCCCTCATGCAAAAAAAAAAAAGCTAGAAGAGTTTTGGTGCCAACAAACCATGGAGCCCAGAAAGAAAGCTAATGATAACCGCACCACAGAAATTTCTTCCAGGATAAACAGGTTACATAAAGAAGGAGCGAGCTTTGAAATGTTATCGAAGGAAAAGGTAAGAAATGACTTAACGTCTTGATCCTAGAAATCTAAAAAGAATATATATTAACACACATCTAAGAGTCAAAATGTCCAAAGCAAAGGCTATTTCTCTATTTGTGGGTGTTCTGTTCCTGTAAAATAGTGTTTCACAGTCCAGGCTGACTTTGAACTCACTATGTAGCCCACTCAGGTTTGGAAATTCTGATCCTCCTGCCTCAGCCTCGAGTGCTGGGACGACAGGTGTACAACACCACGCTTGGTCTAATTCTCTACTTCTTCAAAAGTGACATCAGATTAGGAAAACAATTTCTATCTTCAAAGGACTATAGGTTCCTTAGAGTTGCGCAAGCTTCTGGCAAAAATAAGACTACTAAGTAACAGATTAGTCATTCAAATTCTGCCCATATTTTTATCTTCATAGAAAAAGTGATGTTCACTGCAGTGCAAAGTGACAGCCTCGATTCTTCATCAGCTGGGCACCGGTCACTGCAGTGCAGGTTATGGCACAACCACGACGCAGAACTGTGTATCATGCTGCGCCACACTCCCTAAGTGACACGGGGAAATACTGACTGTTCTCAAAGAAAGCCACAGAGCAGTGTGTGAAATGGCCACATCTCCGCTACGGCGCGTGCCAGCAGGAAAAGCCTAGCAAGGCACCCACCTAGCTGCCGCCAGCACTCACGGTGGGTAACACAGCAGGCTGCTCTGCCTCTGCGGTACTGTGCTACGTGCTCCAAGAGCTCTGTTCTGACAGTGCAGAGGAATCACTATGCATCATGAGCAGGGTTAAAAACCAACCCGGAAGAGCTGGGTTCAGGGAAGCCTGAGACGCTGATCTCCTTCTAACGGGTCTGCTTGGGAGGACGGAGGTGATAATCCCTAAGCTGACGACGCGACCGAAGACGACATGCCAGCGGGTCCCCGCAATGGCCCCTCACCTGAGCCCGTCCGGCCCACGATGCCGATCTTCTCCTTGGGTTTGATGGTGAAGGACACTTTCTTCAGGACCAGAGGGAGGTTCTCCCGGTACCGCATCTCTGCGTTTTCAAAGGTCACCTCTCCTTCCTGGGGCCAGTCAGGGGGAGGCGCCTTGTTCTTGATTCTCGCAGGTGCTTCCAAGGAGAGAGTCTGGGGAGGGAAGCGGCTGGTTCAGACAGACCACAGGCTCGGGAGCAGCCGGGCGTGTGGCAGAGAAGGGAATGCAGGGCAGCCACCGCCCTGACCCCAGCTATGGAAGATCCCTCGGCAGTACGCGCTCAGCACCACTAAGAACGACAGACACAGTGCCTGGCTGCCAGGTTTCCAAACTCCTCTCTGAAGGAGCCCTGCCCCGGCACCACTGGTGCATGGAGCGAGAACCGAGGGGCAGGACACAGGGCTTTCTACCTACCCCTCTTCAACCAGTTTTTACTGGAATGCTTTGAAAACACTTTCCCTCCTGAAATCGGATCCTACCACTGGAAAACCCCTGGGCCAAGTTAAACCCAAAGTAAAGAAAGCAGCAGGTACTGAAGACGGAGTCAGGTCACGGCATTCTGACACCAGGAAACACAAACACCCATTTCAACCTTGCCGCTATTAACCGTGCGACCCGGACATGCTGCTTCTCCCCTCTGGGTTTCATCTGCAAGTTGTAGGGACTAAATTAAATGACCTGGGGGATCCACTCCAGCTCGGAAGGCTCTACTACCACTGCGGAGGTCATTCTATCACCAAGTCACACCTCACAATGTTTGATTACCTCCGATGTTAGCCACGGGGCCAACGGCCTCAGAGAGGAGAAAGGCCAAAAACGGCAGGATTTTAGGGCAGCGGACCAAAGTCCTAGGCCACCCTTTCCCCGGAATGATTAGACTAGACTAAGAATTAAACACCACAGGAAAATGTTACATTAGTCAGCTACACTGAAGTACCAAGATTCTAAACATTTTGGTGAACAGTGAGTTCTCCACTGGGCTTAGTTTATAAACACATTTGGAAACTGCAGTACACTCTCTGGCCAGACTGCCAGTCACCCTCTGTGGGCCATGCCAGGCAGGAAAACAAGCCTCCTCCCTCCTCGAGCTCCACCCACGGTGGTCAGGGGCCTCCTGCAGGCTGACCTTAATGTAGTGATTAATTCTCTCCACCGAGGTGAATCGAGCTTCTGTCTCAGATGCCAGTCTCACCGTGAACTGGAACAGTCCTGTTAACTGACAACAGAAAGCAAAAGTCCAAGAGAACTCAGTACCAGCACGTGCCAAGTACCGCACCTAGAGAGCAGGCGCAGGGACCTGTCGTTTTCCTACACTTGGGGCCCGCTGTCCCTCATCACCTGCAGCACTTAGGGAAGGCGGGTGGCCCTGTGCTGCAGCCTTGCACCCAGGCCTTCCAGTCACCTTCGTGTTTGCAGTCACACATCTGTGGCCGCAGGACTTCTGGGCCCCTATTAGGACCTGAGCCTGTTTGTGGGAGCCACAGTTGAGATTTCGGTCTGCGAGCAACTAGTAAAGATGCTTCCAGGAAAGTGAGACAAGAGACAAGGCTGGGAAAAAATACACCCAGAGCTTCCGCACCGCAGCCTGCGGTTCTGAGCAGAACCCACGCGGCACTCCCCGACCAGTCACACAGGAAGTCTGGTATCTGCAAACACAGCACTCCGGAGCTCCTCTGGTTGCTCACTTTCACCTTTCCGATGTGGGAAAATGCCACATACATGTGTATACACGAGTTGGGAGCAGTGTAACACACGCCTAAGGTCCGAAACTTCGGCTTTAAAGATTCATTTCGACTCACTACTGTCTCACCGATGCTTCCACTACCCCCGCTCCCTCATCTGGGACGGAGCCCAGCTATCCTGACATTGGACACGTCCGAATTTCGGCTTGTGTCTTGCTAGAAAACAACTCTGGGGGCCAGGACTTAGCTCAGTTGTTACACTGCTTGCCTTGCAAGCGCAAGGTCCCAAGTTCAATACCCGGTATCAAAAAAGACAACAACAAAGAACCAACTCTGGTACCATTATTTAAAAATTTTAGTCATTACTTAACATTTTCAAATATCTAGTTACTCTTCAAGTTCCCAATTGTTCTTTGAGCTATTTGAAGCCCTTTGATCATCTTTAAGGACAAGAAGGACTTTTTAGATAGGTAAGATAGATAGACAGATAGACAGACAGACAGACAGACAGACAGATAGATGGATGCTGTGAAAATCAGTCCCAGGGAAAATTGTCTCACCGATGCTTCCACTACCCCCGCTCCCTCATCTGGGACGGAGCCCAGCTATCCTGACATTGGACACGTCCGAATTTCGGCTTGTGTCTTGCTAGAAAACAACTCTGGGGGCCAGGACTTAGCTCAGTTGTTACACTGCTTGCCTTGCAAGCGCAAGGTCCCAAGTTCAATACCCGGTATCAAAAAAGACAACAACAAAGAACCAACTCTGGTACCATTATTTAAAAATTTTAGTCATTACTTAACATTTTCAAATATCTAGTTACTCTTCAAGTTCCCAATTGTTCTTTGAGCTATTTGAAGCCCTTTGATCATCTTTAAGGACAAGAAGGACTTTTTAGATAGGTAAGATAGATAGACAGATAGACAGACAGACAGACAGACAGATAGATGGATGCTGTGAAAATCAGTGGCCCAGGGAAAAATCCATATATCAGCAAACTGAGGATAGATTTCTCAGAGGATTGGAAGACACCAGAATAATGGTGAACACAGAAACTTATGATTATGAAATTATTCTTAAAATCCAGTTTCTGTATGAACAGCACCTATTTCTTCAACGCATACAGAAGTTACATCCTTTGATTCCAGGATTCCACCCCTGCCTCTCTGTCAAATCCAGTGTCAAATCCAGACTCACTGTCAGAGCAGAGCAGGAGACACTTGAGGGCAGCGATGGCGAACCTTTTAGAGCTTTCAACGATAGCGAACAGCACCCTGCGGCACACGTGCACAGGCTTGCACGAGTCATCTGGAGTGAAACACTGTCGTAGGGTGCAGACCCCATCCCTGCTGTACATCCCTCCCAGATACTGACCTGCACGGCGTAGGAGATGGCGAGACCTGCGTAGGCCGGGGGAATCTGCCCATGCATGAGCACAATCATCAGCCCGGTGGTGGTGATCAGGGCGGTGCTGATGAGGTCCAGCCGCACAGCCAGCCACCGCATCGCACAGGTGAACAGGAACAAGGGAGCCTGGTTGTCATCCAACAGCTCCTGGTACCTGTAGGGAAGATGGAAGGCTTCACGACAAATCCATCCCACACAGCCCTGTTCACCGGTGGTGTCAAAGCACCGGCGAAATACAGAACCGGGCAAATACTTCAGTACTTCCTGCTTCTAACTGACAGCGTGACACAGACTCCAGGAGCACAGGTAGGAGGAAATGATATTTTCTAAGGCTAGTTATTCTTTAAGAAAACATCAGAGATGTTAGAGAGAAGTATCTGCTGTAGCAGTATAGAGAAAGCACAGAAAAGGAGACCAAAGAGAGGGGCTTATACTATGCTTTAGAAAATATCACAGGTCAGGGGTCCTTTTCTATAAAGGTTAAAAGGGCAAATAGCACAAACAGTCCAAGGCCATGAAAAAGAAACTCAGAGCGTATGTGGGCAGCTGCCGAGTGCACTGCCACACCACCCAAGTCCACCAAGCTCGGAAGCAGGAAAAGTGAGCTTGACCACCGCAAGCGGGACTTAACCGCTGCCGCAGAGGGCGTGAGGCACAGCTGAGGAGTCCGAGATCAGACCACGGAGGGCTCGGGTCACTCGGACAACCAGAATTCAAAGCAGGAGGCTTTGCGGGGCCTATGTGCTTTATTATTTTTAATTTTCACTTTATTAACACATGTCTGCAGTACATGAAGCTTACATTCACCTGGGGGAGTAGGTACCGGTACTAACTCAGCTGGGCTCTTCTTTAATCCACTTTCCCTCACTGTCCACCTCCCTCCCTCCATCTCTAGATCCCCCTTCCCCGTTTTCATCATTAGTTCACGCTGATGATTTATAATGTTTCCTTTCATTGTATCCGGTACATTTTTACCTCCCCTTCCCCTTGCACAAGGTCTCCTGGACCCATCCCATTTGCAAAAGACCTATCTCCCTGTTTCCTCTTATCCATCCTTTACTTTGCTCTTCATGTGTACTTTGCCTTACTCACGAGATACCATACAGTGCTTCAGCTCATGCGTCTTATTTCACTTAATGTTATATTTTGCAGTGCATCCATTTTCCTACAACTGTCTCAAGTTTTTTTCCCACCAGTGAGTCTATTGGCACTTTTTAGGTATACAACAGTTATATTCATCATTGGGAACCTGCGTTGGGAATATGACGTATCCTGGTTTTTATTTTTGCCCCTTTCCCCTGCCCTCCCTTCATCCCCTCCACCCTTCCCTATTTACAAAGACTTTGTTTTCATTTTTTCCGTTTCCTTTCTCTCCTTCCCTCTACCCCTCCAACGTTCCTTACTCCTTTAAACCTTTCCTTTTCACATTATCAATTATACAAGTTGATCAATTATACAATTACACAGTTTTTCACACCAGAGAAACTATTTGGTATCTACACATGTATGTCCCATTTACTTCATCTATGAGTATGGCCTCAATGTGCATCCATTTAGTTATAAATGTATCTAGTTTCTCATTCTTTATGGCTGAGTAGTACTTCATTTTATATATAAAAAAAAAAAAATTTCACATCTATCCAGTCTCCAGCTGATGGGCAATTGGGCTGTTTCCAAGTTTTGGCTATTGCATACCGTGCTGCTATCAACATGGGTGCGCATATATCGCTGTGGTGTTATTCTTTTAAGCTGAATGAACACTGTAACTGGGCCTTGAGGACCCCTAGAACTTGGCCAGAGACTGAAGAGAATTCATCCACAGCAAATGGACGTTCACGTTATCCAGTGTGGATGTTCTGATGCTCAGTGAGGTTGCAATGGTGATGAAGCTTTTCCCACACTTTAGGCACTGGTGTGGTTGATCTCCAGGGTGGCTTCTCTCATGCTTGATGAGAAACGACTGGCGATTGTGGCTTTTATCACACTGGCTGCACTGATAGGGTTTCTCCCCCTTGTGGATTCTCTGATGCTGGATCAGACCCGCGCTCTGGCTGGAGGCCTTCCTGCACTCCTCCTTACAGTGGCACTGCTTCTGTATACCGTGGATTCTTCAGTGATTAAAGACTTGCGGCCGGGGATTGAGCTCAGTGGCTCGGTGGCCTGCCTTGCAAGCGCAAGGACCCGAGTTCAATCCCTGGTACCAAAAAAAGACTTGCACAGAACTTTGACTGAAGGTTTTCCCACACTCCTCACGTTTGTAGCGTCTCTCTCCAGTGTGAGTTTTCTGGTGTCGAGCGAGCCCTGAGCTCTGAGCAAAGCTCTTCCCACATTCCCCACACATTGGTGTTGGCCCTCTGACCCACCCTTATGATTCCCCAACTTCTCCACATCCAGGGTCCTCCCAGGTCTGGTCATGAAATGTTTTCCATGTCTCCACTACCTTTGCAGTCTTTCCCTAACACCAACTCTCTATCTTCAGCCTCAGTCATTTCAGCTGTCTCTCCACTAGGATGGGACTTCTGGGCAGGGGCTAGGGCTCCACAGGCTGGCAATGAAGGCTCCGTGATGACTGCTCTTCTCCAGGCAGTTCCTCTCTGGAGAGGACTTGTTTGTGTTTGTGAGTTATGATCTCATGTTGTGGTTCATCAAGTTCTCTCTCCAGCTCTTCCAGCAAAATCACAGCCTCCTCCCCACTCTCCGGACAGTGCTCCTTCACCCAGCCCTGCAGCTCCTTGGCGGGATGGTCAGGAATTGCTCCAGCACCAGCAGCTCCAGGATCTGCTGCTCCTTTGTGCTTCAGCAACTGGTACAAAGTTCCTGAATCCGATGAAGAGCCTCCCTTGGTCCTAGGGTTTCCCGGTGGCAAAGCTGCCAAAAGGGCCTTTGGAAGATTTCTCTTGCTAGGGGATTACTGCATTTCAGTCTGGATCCCTGCATTTGGAGCTGACTTTCTACCTCCACTTTCATCATCGAGCTTGAAAATCCAGGGATAAAACCTGTACATTCATCCTGACCTTGAGCAGCTGCTAGGGCACCCTTCAAAACACACCCTTGGATGCTTCTCCTGGAAACTCAGAAAGGTGCCACATGATGCTCTAGCATGGCCTTGGGGTTTTTATCCTCTATAACTGAATAGTATTCCATTGTGTATAGACAGCACATTTTATTTATCCATTCGTCTATTGGTAGGTATGCAGGCTGCTTCCTGGACTTAGCTATTACGAATTGTGCTGCTATAAGCATGGTGTTTGAATGTGTCACTCTAATGTGATATCTTTAACTCTTTTGGGAAGAAGAGTAGAAGAGGAATAGCTGGGTCAAACAGAATTTCTATTGGTTCTTTGAGAAGTCTCCATGCTGATTTCCATAATGGTTGTACTAATTTACATTCCCACCAACAATACAGAAGGGTCCCTTTTCCACCACAGCCATATCAACACTCGTCATTATTAATTTCTGATGGCTGCCATTCTTCCTTCCAATCTTCATGTTGTTTTAATTTGCTTTTTTCTTGCGAGAGATTTTGAACATTTTTTTATATGTCTGCTGGCCTTTTGAACTTCTTCTGAGAAGTGTCTATTCATTTCATTTGCTCTTTCCTGACAGGGTCTTTTATTTTAAGGGAGTCTAATGTTTTTAAGTTCTTCAGGAATAGCTGCCAAATTTTCTTCCCATTTTATAGGGAGACTTTTCACCCTGATTGTTTCCTTTGTGCTTTAGGGTTTAAAAAATTATGTTTCCTTGAGGCCATACTCTCAAGTGAAATAAATAAGATACACGTGTAAATACTGAATAGTTTCTCTGGCGTGAAAAACTAAAAGTGTAAATAAGATCCAAATTGTATAACTGATAACGTGAAATAGGAAGAAAAGGGTTAAAGGTGTAGGGGAAGTGGGAAGGGTAGGGGAAAGAAAATAAGGAAAAAGAAAAAAAATGAGAAAAGGAAAAAATGGAAACAAAGTCTTTGTAAATAGGGGAGGGTGGAGGGGGTGAAGGGAGGGAAAGGGTATGGCGGAAAATGAGAACCAAGAGCTGTCATGCAAAGTTACAAGATTCCAAAGATGAGTGTAAATGTACTGTATACTTGAGTACCAATAAATTCAACTTTTAAAAAATAAAATAAAAAAATAAGAAATCATGTTTCCTACCTGTAGTATGTGCTCATTAGGAAAAATTTAGAAGATGCACTAAAAAGAGGAAAATGTAAAATTCCAGTAATCTTAAATTCATCAGTATGCATATATCACTGTAATAGGATGTCTTTAACTCCTGGGAAGACATTCATTCATATATACGTGTGTGTGTGTGTGTGTGTCTGTCTCTCTGTCTCTCTGTCTCTCTCTCTCTCTATATATATATATATGTATATATATATATGGATTAGCTGGGTCAGATGGAATTTCTACTGCATTTCCTCTAAGAAATTTTTCAATCTACTTACATTTACTGTGTGAATGCATGAACATGTATTCAATCTATTCCACTTATTTTTAGCTGGGGGTAGTCTACCACTGAACTACATACAGCCATAGCCCTTTTCATTTTTGAGACAGTTGTGTCTCACCATATTGCTCAGGATGGCCTTGAATTCTCCTGCCTCAGCCTCCTGAGTACTACAGGTGTATGCTACTGCACATGGTTCTACTATCTTTTTAAAATGAGGGAACATTTTTCTGAGTCATTAAACATTTTGAAGATGATTTTCTAACTTCCTAGTCTAAATTTTCTTTTAAAAGATAATTACTTAATTTGGTGATAGGTGATGGTACATACAAAATAGGAAAATTTTAAAGTTATAATAGGTTTATTACCATGAAATCAGTCTTTCTCATGCCCATCCTGAAGCTACTCAGTTCCCCCCCACCCGGGAAAAGAAATGGTTTCTCCTGTGTCCTTTCAGAAATATCCCAGATGTTATATACACAAACACATTCTCTAAAGGTAACATCCTGCTTTTTTACGAATATCAAACTACAGAGCTGCCTCATTCTTTAACATGGACACACCACAGATTATTTCAGCAGTCCTATACTGAAGGATAATTAGGTTAACTCTAATCTCTCTCTTTTTTGGGGGTGATACTAGGGCTCAAACTCAGAACTTTGTGGCTATAAGGTAGGCACGGCACTACTGAGCTAAATCCCCGGCCCCTTCTAATCTCTTATTAATACAATCTCCAGAATGGCTGTGCACATTAAATTCATAAATCGACAATATTCAATGGCTAAATAAAATGACAGTCTGATGTCAGTAACTGCCTTTTATTACCCCCTCCAAAAGTAAAATATCATCAAATACACTGTTTCAGAAGCAAATGCCAATGGATTCCAGATCTGTTTTTGCCTTCTTACTTGCACAAGAGAGTTCCACCAAACAAATGAATTTTAATTGGACTCTGCTCCTTTAAAACCACTTCATACCCTTAGCAAGGTACTTTAATAATCCCAGTAACAGGCCGGGAGTGGTGGTGCATGCCTGTGATCCCAGCACTTGGATTACTGTGAGTTCCAGACCAGCCTGGGCTGCATAGTGAGTTCCGGGTCAGTCTCTACTACACAGTGAGACCCTGTCTCAAAAAAAAAAAAAAACAAAACAAAAAAACAAAAACAAACAATCCCAGTAACAGTCTTGTTAAAGCCTCGGGCGCTGGCTCCCTGGGGAGCCCTGACCTCCAGCCGCACCCACCTGTGCAGAAACTCCTGCCCTTTATTGTAGGCATGGATGGTGGCGAGGCCCTGTATGCTGGACGTGATGTGGGAGAGGAATGGCGACTGCGTTATGTTGTCCAGACGCTTCAGCTCCCGAATCAGGACCCTGCGAGAGAACGGGCTGTGACGCACCAGCAGACGGCAGCTCTGGCTTCCCGCCGGCTCTGGGGGACACGGACACCTCCTGCTTACCTGGAGACGATGTGCAGGACTGAGAAAAGGATGGTGAGGGGCCCCACCGCCACAAGGAACCACGGGAAGACGCCGGCTATCATTCCAGCGCAGAAGAACACCAGGATGACGTTCTGGATAAACATCTCCGCCTGGAACGGCAGGCGCACGTCCACTGGTGAAACCACAAGGGAACAGGGTCAGACTGCCGGGCCTCCAGCAAAATGGAGCCGATCGTTTACGGAGAAAAACACAAGGCTCCACAAAACCCCTATCAGAAGAAGGTGATGTTGTCTTTAAACTGTCCACGGAAAGAAAGTTCAGAAACCTGGTTGCTTGAAGTTTTCTTGGAATAAGAAATTTAATCTTCCTACTCCACCCTTTCATGGATTCACTATCCTGCCTAACCCTTTAAAACACTCTTTTCCCTTTACCAAGTACTATATATTTATTGTAAAATATTTGCAAAGCAAATAGCAAAACAAAGATAACATATTCTTAGCAATATCAATAAATTGCTGCTGACATTTAAGAAATTCTTCATTGGTGAAAATTTAAACATACACACAAGTTAAAATATGGACATAATGGCCCGGGATTTAGCTCAGTGGTTCCACCACCTGCCTCACAAGTGCAAGGTCCTGTGTTCAATCCCCGGTACAAAAATAAATAAATAAAATAAGGACATAGAACTTTCAACATTTATCAACATTTTCTTCATCTCTCTTCAGCTATCTCCTTACCCCACCCCTCTTTTCTTGTGGCTGAAGTACTTTTGTAAATCCCAGGTATGCTGACAGCACTGATTTTTCCTGTCTTTTTTCTGCGTTTACAGAAATAGAAACACGTTAAGCAGCAGTTCAGGTGCCACAGGTGACTGATTCCTTGTTACCTTTGGCTATGGCTTTACGCTGTTCTGCCAACACCTGAACAAACTCCTGCTGTGGAGGCGGCCACCGCTCAGTAGTTAGAAACAAAAGCCTCGCTCTGGAGTCAAAAGCCGTGCAGTCAATTAATTCCCACCTTGCTCATCCAACAGCTGTATGACCTGGGGCAAGCTATTTAAGCCTTCTAGGCACCAGCCATCCCCCATAGTCTGTGGCTGAATTTGAAGGTGCAGGAAACCCTCCCCTTTGGAGGAGGCAGTGCTATTACCCTGGGCAATGGGCAACGGAGTTACCGCAAGTACTGGGGTGCTTTGGAAGCTCAGACAACTCTGTCCAAAGCCTCCCTGCTAACACAAGCCTCTGAGGTCAGATGAGGCAGAATAAGAACTGGGATTAAAGGCTCCTGGTAAAAACGCCAGCTACCGCTGTGTCCTCAGCATCCCAGACCAGGGTGAGCCGCACACGCGGGGGTCACCTGGAAGGTGGAAGGCACAGAGAGCAGGGTGCTCCCGACCACAAGAGGACAGAGAGAAATACCTTCATCCAGGTCTTTGGAAAACCGGTTGAGAATCCGCCCCGTGGGGGTGGTGTCAAAGAACTTCATAGGGCTCCGAAGGATCCTTCGGAACAGCTCGTCATGGAGCCGGGAGGAGGCTCGCAGTGTTCCCTGCAGAGCAGAGACCACGGCATCAGGCAGAGACCCAAGACCCAGGCAGGGTCCAGGCCACTGCTCCGCAAGACGTCTACTCCCAAGGCTGGAAAGCATACCCGGGCCCTAGCAGGAAGGCTGGCTGCCGAGGGGCCCCAGAGATGCCACGCTGAAGCTGACCGCGTGGTCACAGGAAGCAGGGGCGCAGTGGCGCCCCCCACAGCGTACCTTGACAAAGACAACTCCGCGAATGGCTTTCAGGATCAGCATGACTGCCATGGAGAGGGCGTAGATGCTGGCGTAGTACTGCATGAGGGGATTGTCCTTCATGCTGTCGCTCACGGAGGTCCTGTTCCCTCGGGTCACCGTGGTGTTCTGTTGGAGGCAAGCTCTGTGAGGCGGGCTTCCGAAGACCGCCAGGAGCCCCTGCCCGGGGGAAGCTGCAGGAAGTGACCCCGGGAGCCGGCTGTGCTGATCACAGGCAGCCTATGCCACCCCTTTCTGTTCTTCTCTTAGTGCTGCGGTGAATCCTAGGCCTCATGAGGGCCACGCACGTTCTCTACTGCTGAGTACACCCCGGCCTCCCCTCCTGCCTCTATGAGGGATCCAGCAGGCGGCCTGCAGACACCCTACTGACCCGTGTGCTGGCCAGGGCTTGTTTCTCCTGTCTTGTAAGGGGCTCATTTCTTCATCCTGGAAAACCTCATTTCTTGCTCTTTTTAAGTAAAAACTAGATGAGTTTCTAAGAATAGGCAAGGAGCACGGAGGCAGCCACATTCACAGACACCACTCTCCCTGCGGTGAGTAACCTTACCCCGCTTCCCTGCTTGATCCAGTAGCTCAACCACCAGGTGCTGAAGGCGGTGCTGCCCACATTCAGCATGAAAAGGGCCATGATGACCAGGAATGCCAACGGGCCCCCTGCAGCCTGGATGTAGACACCATACACCGACCAGGGCACTGAGCCCTGCCCCTTCTCTTCCAACTGCACAAGCTGTCCTGGGTAAGGGGGAAAGAAACATGACCTTAGCAGGGAAGAGCGTGAAATAAACTTTGTAGGAGTCCATGGGGTTGTGCTCAGCACCTGCAAGGGCCCCAAAGACCAACCAATATACAGCAACCACAGTAACTGCGCTCTGGTGATGGAGGCTGTGTAGCCAATTAAGCTGTAAATAATTAGCCAGATAAGCTGCAGCCAGCTAACTGGTTGACTGAGCCGTAGCAATTAAGTTGTTTTCTATGCCAAACTTATTTCTCTGTACAGGAAAACTCTCGAATCACATTGTCGGGGGAAGTTTTCAGAACCTCCTCTGGTTCTGAAAGTGGCCTGATTGGCGAATCGTTTTTGTTTTGTCTAAATAGATTCTACTCAATTTAACTGATTCAGTAAGTTTTCCTTCTAATATGAGCTACTGTCTTGAGAAAGCCACCTATACAGTAGCAGAATCAGACAGCCTAGTTTCACAGGGCTCTGGATTAGAATGACTTCCTCCTCCTCAGAGCATTCACTCCTTCATCCACTTAATATTTACTACACAGCGGCTTGGAATGCGGCGCTGGAGCAGGAGGGAGGCTTGAGACCAGGCCTGGCCTTTCAGGACCTGGCTGAGGATTGTAGCACAGCCCCGAGGCCAGGCAGGTAAACACAACGTGATAAAATGTGTGCAGAGGCACGTGCAGGGGCAGGGACCATCCCGGGACGTGCATGCCCAAGCCCTTGGGGAGGTGTGGGAAGGGGGCAGGCAGGTCTCCGGGAAGACTTTCCGGGCAGCCTGTGCTGCCTCTCAGCAAGCCAGTCATCCAGGCGCAGAGGGAGACCCTGCCACATGGGAAGGGGAGATGTGGCTGGGGATGCAGGTTGGCCGGGGACAGAGGCATCTGAGCTTCCTCCCACAGGCAGCGTCCTGACAGACTGGGTCACGCGTGTGTGGAGACTGGACGCCCCACCCCGCTGGGCCAGGTGGACTCACGATGGTGACACTACAAGATCAGCTGTGTGCGCTGAGTGGCGTCATGGTGCCTCCCTGCGTTCCTTACAAAAACGAGCATTTTCTGTGCATGCCACACCAGGACAGAGACAGAAAACACTGCTGTGAAAATGGAAGCTACTGGAGGGCTTCCTGTGGGAGAGTAAACTAGCTGGCTGGTCTTCCATTTTTAAGTAGATCTCTCGGCGGTCCACGTGGAGAACAGATTTAAAAGGAGGCAACCAGGGCTGGGGATTTAACTCTGGTTCTGCCGCCTGCCTCGCAAGTGCAACGTCCCGAGTTCGATCCCCAGTACCAAAAAATAAAAATAAAAATAAATAAAAGGAGGCAGCTGAACGCTGGGTAAGGATCACTAAAGGGCCTGCAAATCCAGTGGGGACAATGGGCATGGAGTTTCAGGAGGCAAATTCAAAAGGGCCAGTGACTGGCTGGTTGTTGGCAGACAGAAAAGGCTCAGGACATCTCTTAGGGTCTTCCTGCTATGGCCAGATGACTGCTGCTGAGTTGAGAATACACAGAAACAACCACTCAGGAAGCCGCTGCCTCCTCCTCATAGGTAACGTTTACTAACCCTGGAACAAGCCATGCATGCCTTGAGCACTTAAAGACTGAGGAGGAGTGAGGGCAGTAGCTACAGAAAAACAAACGTTCCCTAGTGATAGGCTGACTTATGCTGCTTGTGGCAGCAACTAACAGATGTCTCAGCTTTCTGTGATGTTTACTTTTGGGGTGCAGCAATAAAGTATCTTAAACCATGCGTGAATTAAAAAATTCATACTTGTTCTCTTAAAAGAAAAGCACAGTCTGATAAATCAGCTTGACATCTGTTAACGCGAAATGTCTGCTGTATTGTTAAGGACAAGAATGTGAAAAGAGGCCCAGCCCAAAAGCAGTGGTAAACCCAGCAATGTCCCAAAATTCAAGAGGGGTGAGGAGAGGAGGTGACCCAAGAATAAGAGTTTTAAGACAAGTTGCAATTAAAAAAAAATGTACAAGCTAACATTCAGCTTAAAATTCACAAAGATGGAACTGCCCACATTACTGCAGACAGACAAAGGATTTAAGAAATAAGATCACTGAGCTCCGTGGTGCCCACCTGTGACCTCAGCTACCTGGGATGCTGAGGCAGGAGGGTCACAAGTTTGAGCCAGTACTTGAGCGCTTTAGCAAGACCCTGTCTCAAAATAAAAATTTCGAAAGGGTTGAAAAAACAAAAAGTTCCTCTCCCTTTCCTTTCCAAAACAAAGAAAGAAAAAAAGGAAGGAAGGAAGGAAGGAAGGAAGGAAGGAAGGAAGAAAAGAAAGAAAGAAGCAAGGGCTCTGGATAGGGAAAGCCAACTTGGAAAAGTCACTAGGGCCAGGCGATGCGCCCGCTGCCGTGACACTGAGCTTTCAAGGACATGGCCCGCTCAGAACTGGGCAGTGCTGCGCTGGCTGGGGCTGAGTTCACGCAGAGGTGGAAGGCAGGAAGGGCTTATGCCATTTCCTACTCCTGCCTATGCCGAGTCATCCCTGACAGGAAGAGGAGGCGTAGGAGCAAAGGTCATCCTCAATCCCTTCCTAAGCAAAAAGAAAGGGCCTCTGTGTCTCCCAGCACCATCTAAGAATCGTTATTCTATTTCACCAATATCAGCACCAGGCGCTCTGTAACACACAGTGCTGTCATAGATTGCCCTACGGAGCATTGTTCAGTGACAAGTGTAAAAGTCCTTACCTTCCTCTGGCTTCACTGCTTTCTCCTTCTTTACTGATCCTGTTTTCGGACCCTTGTCTTGTGATTTCTTCTGTGAACCACTGGCTTCCTTTTTTGAATTGATCTAACAATGGTTTAAAAAAAAGTATCTCCCGTCACAACAGAGCCGTCCAGATGAATATCCACAGTGTACACGACAGAATCACCCATGGAGCTACCATTACTGAAGAGAGGGCCTCCGATTCTCAAGACAGCCACCAGTACCCATTTTTCTTTGTTTTGGTTTTTTTGAGACAGGGTCTCACTATGTAGCTGAGACTGACCTGGAACTCACTGTGTAGCCCAGGCTGGTCTCAAACTCAGCGATCCTCCTGCCCCAGCTTCCCGAGTGCTGGGATTACAGGCGTGCGCCATCACACCCGGCTTACAGGACCCATTTTCTACTTTTGCAACTCCTTCAATCTTCGAGACCTTGGTTCTTCTGTTGGTCAACTGACACTTGCTGTCCCCAAAGTCATTTGAGACCTAAATTCCAAACACTGAAGACTTTATTCTATTCTCATCCTCTCCAAAGAATGACGGCCGGAGTCCCTTCCATTCCTCCTGTCTCTATCCTCCACGTTACCAATTCAAATCCACAGAGCCCATCGTTCTCCACTGCCACCACAGGATAAACCCAAACTCTCCGCAGCGTGGCTTTACCCTAGCCCGGTTCCACAAGTTCCTCTTCCACCCCACCACTTCCCACGGCTCCTACCCTCCAGTCACAGCGGTGCGAGGACACCACTCCTTGCACCGCACCGCAGTTTCCCCTTGTGGACACCCGTCCAGGCTTGCACCTCTACGTGGACCACGCCCACTCAGTCACAGAGGCCCCCATATGATGGCTTTAAATCTCACATCTTTCAGGGGGCAACTCAGACTTCTGTAGAGTAAGGAGCTACCCTGGGCACTCGGTTAGCACGCTGCTCCGTGCTATGTCTATCTGGTGCTAGTTACCTGGGGAAGCATCAAAGCAAGGTCTGCTCCAGAACACTGCCAGGCCCTTAAGGACAGCGACGGCGGTTTGCAGGGTGACACTCCACACAGGGCCACCATGCAGAGAGCTGTCCACACACAGGGCACACGCACCAAGCTGAACCTGAGACAACCGAAACTACTGAACGCTTTCTTGCCAACTTCCTGTTTCATCTTTACACAGGAAATTCCTTTCATGTAGTTCAGTATTCAACTCTGTCAAGATTTTCAGCCTCCTGCCCCTGGTAGATTTTAAATTGAAAGTGAAAAATTTAAAGTGTAAAACTTAAGAGCCACAACTGAAACACAAAAGAAGTCTCTGAATTGTATATTTATCACAGTGCACGAACAGCTGCACCATCTGAAAGGAGATTACTATCTACTGACCACTTACTAGGAGAAGAACACTACACATTATGTAACGTAATCAATGCGACAACTTTAAGAGGCGGACACCGCCCTGTGTTTTAGATGAGGAAGCTGAGCGTTAAGAGAGGACCAAAAGCACGCTTCGTCCACTGCACACTGACACGACAGTCTTTTGCTCCTTGGGCATTTCCATATTCAGCTTCTCACCTTCTCCCTTCTCACACGTCCGTCTCTACAGTGATGAGGAAATAAGCTGAGGAACCCAAAGTGCCCTGGCAGCCATAGCGAGAGATCACAAAACCTCCGAGTGGACGACAGTGTCTCTGCAGACGTCTCTGATGATCCCAGGAAGGTCTGAGTTACGTAAGGAAGCCTCAAAGACCATAGGCACAGCTAGTTTGTACCGCACCGGGGATGAAGCCCAAAAAAGATCCCCAAAACTTCTTGCCTTCATCTCACTCTGACATCAGGACCAGGTAGCCAAGAAGGCAGCGTTCCCAATAACGAATGTAACTATACTGTATACCTAAAATGCACCAATAACCTCAATGAAAACAAAACAAAAACAAAACTAAAAAAACAAACAAACAAAAAAACCAAAAAGGCAGCGTGTAGGCTCAGCCTAAGTCATCCTGGGACCCCAAGTGAGAGGGCGGCTGACATGGAGGGGTCACAGCCTCTCTGGCTGGCTCCAGGTGGGTATGCCCTTGACTACACCTCACCTAGAGCACTAGCGGGGGTGTGGGAAGCCACCACCCGAGGGTTGCACTGAATATGGGGCGTGGAGCCCCTCAGAGTCAAACCACCCTCATCAGCAAGCTGCTCAACTTTTCTGAGCTTCAGTTCTCTCTGTAAAAATGGAAGATAATCATGTTTGACCACATAGCTTTGACAAAATGACTAAGGAGGGTGGTGTCTACAGAGCGCCTCATCCATAATTGGAATGCTTTAGGTGTTAATGGTCGCCGAGACAGCAACCAAGATATCGTGGGTCACTTACAAATGTACTCAGTGCCTATCTGCCCTTCCCTGGCACCTTATTCGCTTATTTAAAAAGAACTTCACTCTGTTTCAATGAAGGTTGATGGCGTTTAGGAAAATGAGCGACGACCACAAAACAGTACATATCTTCCTATTAGAAAGTTCTCTGCACGAGAATCTGGTTCACTAACCCCATCCTGCTCTCCTAGAAGCGAACAGGCACAGGGAGGGTATCATCACCAGAAAACAGGACCCCTGTCGATCCTGTACCCAGCTGAGCTCTCCATCACTCACTGCAGTCACACCTTCCCTACGTGGTAAGGAGGACACACTACAGACCCAGCAAATCTTACCTCAACTGGGGGCGTCTCTCCCAGTAACAGGTTATTAAAAATGGTGGCGTAATCCCCGTTTAAATTCATCAGCTCCTCGTGGGTACCTCTTTCCGTGACACAGCCCTCTTTCATGAAGATCACTTCATCACAGTCAACTAGATACTAGAAACAAAGGCAGGGTCAACAGAATAGCTGATGCTGGTTCAAAGCCACTCAAATCCCAGACCTCAGATCAGTGGGTCTCAACTGGAGGTCACTTATGCACCCCAGGGACATATGACCACAGTGGAAACAGTCTGTTCCTGGCATCAAGAGCAGCACCCCACCCAGAACCATCAGCCTGAAGTGTCCACGGTGCAAGACGGAGCAGCTCTGCTTTAGTCTACTGTGTCTCGCCTTACAGTTCAAGGAGCATCTCCTCTGTTTCCGACATGAATCTGTGGCTGGAACTACACAAGCTTTGCATTAAATTTCACATCCCTTCGACTGCACACAGACGTACACAGAATTAAGATCTGGGGCCGAAGGAAGGAGTTTTTAGCTTGACAACTCTGATGGCAATGACCTCAAGTGGCCGCCTGTACCCTGATTCCCGGAATCGCTGGTCACCCCACAAAGACACCTGCACCACGCCCACGTCCCTGTCTCTGGGCGAACAGCGTAGGAAAGGGTGCGCCGTACCTGTAACTGGTGAGTGACGAAGAGAACCGTCTTGGACTTGAGGTGCTTCCGGATGGCGCTGTTGAAGATGTGGTTGCCCACGTGGGCGTCTAAGGCACTGAGGGGGTCGTCCAGGATGTAGATGCTCCTGTCACTGTACAAGGCCCGGGCGAGGCTGATCCGCTGGCGCTGCCCACCGCTCAGGTTGGCTCCTCGCTCGCCAATCTAAGGACCCAGGAAGCACAGCAAAGCCTCTAGCTCAAGTCCACAGTGGTGCCCTGAGGACGCCTTCATCACTTCTCCCCTCCTGCACAAAATGGCTCCTTCCGAACTCCCACCGGGATGCGCTGCCAGCTGCCGTGACTCTTCCAGGAACTCAGCCAGCCCGCAGCCGGAGCCCATCGCTCCTACATCTGATCTCGCCGCTGCCTCTGCCTCCCTCCAATCCACTCTCCACAGGGAAGGAAGAGCACAAAGCTGACCGTGCCTCATCCCCGCTGAACGCCCGAGAGCTGACAAACTCTAGACACCCCAACATCACGCACAGCGCAGGCCCTTCACCCCGGCTCCCCAGCGGCTCTCAGGGTCACTGCACAGCCTGGAGTCAGAGCCGTCTGTAATTACACGTACATTAGGAACTCATGACAGATCTCATTCCTGCTCGGTTCTGCACCCTTTCCGCCTCCTCTCCACTCACAGCCTGAAAAGGGGGCTCTTTTCCACATTACTCTGCCCGTCTGTCTGGGCATCTCACACCCTTAGCTGTAAGCTCCGTGAGGGTACAGACTGCGGTCCTCTACTTCACCAGCGCCAAGCAGCTGCTGCCCTGTTGCTGGCACATAACAAGCACCTGAGAAATGTTCCTACGTGGACAGGTGAACAAATCAATGGTCAAATGGTAACTGGCTCTGTGTTTGTCTTTTTTTAGATCGTGTCCTTAAACAACATTCAACTAATCCAGAGGTTTCCAGGCTCAGTGTGCACCGCAACTGCCATCGAGCCTGTGAGAACAGCCTGCTGCTGGGCCCAACCCAGAGTCTCTGCGCTCCAGATCTGGGCTCGGCCTCACGCTCTGCCTGTCAGACAAGTTCCATGTGGACCAGACGCTGCCACTCTGGGGACTGGGCTACGATCCGAGAACCTCGGTACTAATTAGGCCGTTTGCCGAGCCTGGTTTGAGGGATTTAGCTGAAATCTGGGGAACAGAAACGCCAGTCTGAGACCTCCAGGGCAGCTCTCAGAGGTGAGCTTCAAACCAGCAAGCACCGATGGCCTCGGGAAAGCGCTGCAGGCAGAGGAGCAAAGAAAGAGGATCTGTGCTAAGGGCTCTTTCTGAGAAGCAGGCTTTCTGCAGACTATAGGAAGGAGCCAGCAAAATAGAGGCAAGGGGAGAAGCTCGACACACCAAGCCACACAAACTATGGTTTGTGAAATGCAGTATCTAAAGAGTAAGAAACATTCACGCCCAATCCACAATGGGATTTTCTTTAAAATTCACACAACATACGAACTACTTGTTACTTAAAACAGGCAGTGTTAATGTCCCTGTGCTGAAGAACAGACGCCTTCCTAACACAGGCCCAGCAGAAGCAGAGTCCCCGGGGAAGGAAGCCTCCTGCCCAGCACGGAGCACACGTCCTAGGCGGGAATCGAGCACCTCAGCCCCCACAGCCCGCCCGCTAAAGCCGCGGCCCATGGTGCAGGCGTGGGGGCTGTACCTCGGTCAGGTCGCTGTTGGGGAGGATGGCCAGGTCGGGCCTCAGGCAGCAGCTGTTCAGCACCAAGTTGTACCTGAAGGACACAAAGTGACAGGGTCAGGGACACAGCTGCAGCGGAGCCTGCTGACGGGCTGCCTTGCATCTCGTGTGGCCCAGACAGAAAGCATGATGAAAACAAAACATTCCTTGCCTTTCTTCATCAAATTCCTTCCCAAAGAGGATGTTGTCTCTCAGAGTGGCATTGAGGATCCAGGCCTGCTGGGCCACATAAGCGAAGGTTCCACTGATTGCAATGCTGCCCTCCAGAAGTGTCATCTGGGGAGACAGACACCGTGCAACGGTACCATCACTCACAACCATCGGCCGAGACAACAGACCCCACACTCCGCAGGGGAGCCTCAAGCTTTGGCAACTTCCTCAGAACCGTTTTGGACTCAAGTCCGGATCCCACCTTTGTTCTAAAGGGACTACAGCAGCAAAAGAAATCAAGGTTCTCCTTGCTGATGTGCAAGAGGAGCCTGGTATAAGCCACAACTTGGGTGAACAGGAGCCCACTGGCCTGTTTTCCACTCTCTCTTCCCAACTGCAAAGTGTTCAGCCATGTGAAACACATGTACGAGGGGCCTTGAAGGACCCCCTGGAGAGGACACTGTGAGGATTCCCAGCAAGCGCTCCTCAAAGGCAGGGCAGCCACCTCCTCTATGGAACTCCACCAGGTGCTGCCACAGCCGCTGATTCTGTAGGACGAGGGCCAATGGGCCCACTTGAAGGGTCTGTGTGAGGAGCCACGGCTCTGGGCTGCCTGCAGTCACAACCCCTCCTCACAGTTCCTCTGAGATGACCACAAACAGCTGTCCCGGCTAGGGATGCCATGGCTCTAGCATTCTGTCTGTGCAGTACCTGAAGGTATGAGCCAACAACCACAACACAGCAGCACCTCAGAGCTCAGGTGGGGCAGCCTCCTACCGAGGAGCTACACCCTGGGGAAGCAGAGCGGACCAGCCTACTGCCTCCCCGCCAGAGAAGGCTGCCAGTATCTGGTCCCGAGGCCACGCGCCACCTGGTTTTCCGGCTACCATCGCCAGGCAACCCCTGGAGCAGCAGCGCCCTGCTGGACTCCGGCCTTTCCCCAACCCTGCCCGTGGGCTGCCATCACTGGCCAGCAAACCTAGCCATTTTCAGAAATCACCCAGGAAGCTTTTTCCAAAGACTGCGGCTGGGCCCAAGGACTGGGAGTGCCAAGGGATGGAATGCCGCCGCCTCAGCCCACTTGGGCACCACTGCCCTCCGTGAGCACCACAGCTCCTCAACCGTGCGGCTGACACCAAACAGGACAGGGAAATGTTCACTGCCCTGGAGGCGAGAGAAGCACCACCTCCAGTCTGCTTCCTGCCCTTGACACGGATAAGCAACGCAGGGACCTTGCTGTCTGAAGCTAGGGATAGATAACTCCACGCCCATCCTCACCTCCACTACCTAAGGTGAGCTAGTTCAGTTCAGTGTAAAGCACGCAGAATCTTGTTCTTTTGTGTTCCCTTCTCAGTGCTGGTCCTTGCCCGTCCCCTCCCTCTCAGCGCTGCTATCAGTGGCTGCCCCCTGGGTACCATGCCCCACCAACTTGCGCACCCAGCCTCCGGACACGAACTCCTCGAGGGTCCACTGGGTGGTCAGGCTGCAAGCCAAGTGTAGTTGTGCTCCCCGATCAAACCCTCCTCATCCAACCAACCCTCTGCCACAGTGTAGGGCGTTTGTGCATTTATCTCTGCCACTTTCCAACATTGGCATACTGAGGGCACTCAATAAATACAAGGAAGCTGGGCGTGGTGGTGCGTGCCCAAAATCCTAGCATGTGGGAGGCTGAGGCAGCAGAGCCACAAGTCTGAGCCCAATCTTAGCAAAATTCTGTCTCCATGGGGAGGGGAGGAGGGGGTGAAGGGAGGGCAGGGACAAGGGGAAAAAATGAGAATCAAGACCTATTATGTAAAGGTACAGAATCCCAATGATGAATGTAACTGTATTGTATATCTAGATTGTACCAATAAACTCAATAAAAAGAAAAAAAAAATTCTGTCTCCATGGGGAGGGGAGGAGGGGGTGAAGGGAGGGCAGGGACAAGGGGAAAAAATGAGAATCAAGACCTATTATGTAAAGGTACAGAATCCCAATGATGAATGTAACTGTATTGTATATCTAGATTGTACCAATAAACTCAATAAAAAGAAAAAAAAAATTCTGTCTCCATGGGGAGGGGAGGAGGGGGTGAAGGGAGGGCAGGGACAAGGGGAAAAAATGAGAATCAAGACCTATTATGTAAAGGTACAGAATCCCAATGATGAATGTAACTGTATTGTATATCTAGATTGTACCAATAAACTCAATAAAAAGAAAAAAAAAATTCTGTCTCCATGGGGAGGGGAGGAGGGGGTGAAGGGAGGGCAGGGACAAGGGGAAAAAATGAGAATCAAGACCTATTATGTAAAGGTACAGAATCCCAATGATGAATGTAACTGTATTGTATATCTAGATTGTACCAATAAACTCAATAAAAAGAAAAAAAAAATTCTGTCTCCAAACAATAACTTACAAAACAAAAAGCAGGGGACGTAGCTCAGTGCACAGACCCTGGGTCCAACGTGCAGTGCAGGGATGGGGTGGGGGCGGAAGGGAACAGAAGGGACCCATGACATGCGTGGCTGGGGCACCAGTCAGTGACTCATCAGATGTCGGCTGCACCCTTCCAGACAAGACTGTCAAGGTGGAAATGGGGGCCCGGCACAGACTGAGGCTCCTCTGCCTCCGCCTCTCATGATTCCCCACAGCAAATGACTTTGTTTTTCCTGAGAGGTTTGCTGTACAGGGTCCTGACAAAAAAGCAGAAAATGCCAAGATCGGTAGCAAAAATCTTACCTGGCCTAAAATGGCTGAAATGAGTGAGGTTTTTCCGCTTCCCACACTGCCACAGATTCCAACCAGTTTTCCCTGGACAGAGCACACACAGGAAGGTCACGAAGAGACAACTGATCGCTCACCTTAAACACTGACAATCTTTGGGGAAAGTTGCGTTAACTTTCGAACATCAATATGGAACTGTCCGCCTCAAGACTCAATGGCCCACTTACCTTTATTTGCTCACTTCTCAGCTGCCTATTTTCTATGGTTTCTGTGAGGATACGCTGAGGTAAGAGAAATGAAAAACGGAGATGCACCATACATACTACAGCACCCTACAAGGACTTTTAGGAAGACTTTCCCTCTTTCCGACATTGCTGGTGATTGCTTTTATTTTGTTCTTTGTTTTGTTTTGCTTTGCTTTTTTGAGACAGGGTCTCACTATGTAGTTCAGGCTGGCCTTGAACTCGCAACAATCCTCCTGCCTCAGCCTCCAGAGTGCTGGAACTATAGATGTGTGCCACACCCAGCAGTGATAACGGTAATCATATTTCTTATTCATATGTCTTTACTGCTGTTTTTTTGGAAGAGAAGGCTTCCTGAAAATTATTTTACTGTGATGTTTATCCAGGGTTTATAAATTATTTTAAACAAAAACTATATGCATAGTTAAACACACATTTTTCCAAAATATTTCAAAAAACCTGAGGAACATTTTTGCTACCAATTCCAAATAGAAATGGAAAACAAGGCCTGTGATTAACTGAATACAGTCATCCCTCAATATCCATGGGAGACCAGTTCCCGCACCCGAAGGGTAACACAATGTATGGATGCTCAACGCCCTTATATAAAAGAGCATAGTATTTGTATATAAGCTACATATGCCCTCCATTACACCGTGAGTCAGCTCGAGGTTGCTTATAATACCTAGCACAATATAAATGCTATATAAAATGCTGTTCTATACATTGTTTAGGGAATGACTGCAAGAGAAAAGTCTGTACACATTCAGTACAGATTCACTTTTCCCCCCAAATATTTTCTATCTGCGGCTGACTGGAATATGGGAATGCAGAGACCATGCGGTAGGGAGCGCTGTGTCGTCAAGTAAGGTTACGACCTCTCAGAAGGCAGTGCTGAAAACCCACATGGAAAGACAGGTGAGTTTAAAAGGGCTCTGTGAGCCCGCGGCCCCAGGGACGCAAGGTAGGAGCGCGGACTCTGGAGGCAGACAGCAGAACTGGACTCCACCCACCAGCACACACAGGTTGTACTGCATCGGCCTCCCGCTCTGGGCTCCAAGCACCAGTGGGAGGAATAACACAGAATCAGGATAGCATCTGGTGTGTGCTAAAATATGCTGCCTGAACAGCGGGTCTGGCATGGTCCAGACACCTGGAAGACTAGTGCCTGTTGTAACATTAGCTCGAGCAACAATGGAGGAAGGACTGCCTGGTACACAGAAGATGTGCTGCAAATATCACCACCCCTTCCTCTGCCTGAGCCCAGGTAGAGCTGCGGAGCTTCCTTTCCAATGGCTAAGGGTCTGTTGTGTCTGTGGGTTCTAAAGGGCAGAATGAGGATCAAGATTCAAGATGCAACCAAAGTTTCACCCCATCATCAAGTGTGGTTATTAACAAGAAGGCTGCTGCTAAGAACAGAGTGAAAACAGACTTGAGTGCTCTTGAACACTGAACCATGTCAACAATTTCAGGCCGCCTCACTTCTCATTTATGGCCATCACGAGCAGGAAGCTCTCTACTCCTCCTCACCTGGCCCTGGATTTGCCCCCCAAGCTCCAGTGCACTGCTGATTTTGCCATCCACTGTGTAAGGATCTACGATCGTTATGTGGATGAAACTTCTTGTGCCTCCTCCACCACCACCCCCTTGGTCCAACACGTCCTCCTCTTCCTTCTGCACTGCAGTAGAGACCCTTAACTGTGCTTCTTGCTCCCTTCTCTGTCTCCCTACACAGTCTTCTGAACCCACCAGCGAGGACAATTCTCCTCATACTGAGCCAGAACTTGTGCTCCAAATCCTCCACGCCTTCTCTTCCCTCTGGGGAAGTCGTTCCGTGAGAGGCTCTCGCCCTCCTCTCCAGCCTCGCTCGGCACCCACTGCTCTCTGCCATGCTCACCAGATGCAGGGCCTCTGTGCTCCTGGTCCTTCAGCTAGCGGTGGTCCTCTTCTCCCAAAGCCACACGGCTCACTCCCTCACCTCCCTGGGGTCTGTGCAAGCTGGTACCTTGTAAAGGAGGCCTTTCCTCAGGCAGCCCGCTCAGACCACCTCCCTGTCCCGGCACCCTCTGGCCTTCCCCAGCCCTTAGCACAATCTGACAAACAGCAAAGATCGCTTTTTACGCCGTCTGGTCTGTGCCGTTCAGAAGAGAAGATCTAGGAGGCAGGGATATTTGTCTGGCTGGTTTCTGTTCCTATATCCCAGCCCTACAGCAGTACCTGGCACACAAAAGATGCTCAAGAGTGAGCGAACACACACACACCTGGAACCTCCAGGATATTTTCCTGGAAAGGCTGCTGGCTGTCAGTCACATTCTGGAGCTTAAAAGTGTTTGCTCCAGCTACTCCGAGAGCCCAGTCTTGAGCTACCTGTGCTGCGACACCATACACCAAATCAATCCTTTACTTATATGAAAATGCTGCATTATGATTGTGGAAAAGAGCAGCACCGAATACCCGTTAGGGGCCAGGGTTGCAGGGCCTCGAGGAGCTGGTGGTGAGTGCAGTTATAATATCAGAAATAATCACTGCAGCTCACATAACAGCCAGAAGCGGAATCAGGGCAAAAGCCTGGAAAACCCACTTGAATGCTCCATTTCCTTGTTTGTGAAATGAGCACCTCACGAGATCAGTTGTTATTAATTGTCATTAAATGCTTAGATATTCCTTTTGGAATTGGAGCTGGCCCAATCTGCTCCTTGGTTCCACGTCTCTCACATCAGAGCACTTCGCTAAGAGGTGCAGCAGCTGCCGCTCTTGCCCAGTCTGAGCAGCGGCGGGTGGAGGAGGGCAGAGGCGCACGGCTCACCTCTTGGATTTCCAAGTCGACGTTGTACAGCGTCCTCTGCAGGCGCAGGCTCCCCAGGTGGATGTGCTTGCTGTCCTCCTCCTCGGGACTGGGCCGCTCATCACTGTCCAGGAGGAGGTGGCCCTTCTGCTCTGCCAGCACTGCCTGATGCTCAGTGCGCTGCAGCTGCCTCGCCTTCTCTTTCTTGCCCCTGGCAGCCCTCTTGTCTTTTTTCATTTTGGGGGTCAGCTTGGGCGAGTTCTGGATACTGGAGTGGGAGGAGTCCCATGCCAAGGTGGCATTTTTCATCTCTATCTTGATGTGAGGACTGGCTGGTTTGTTCTTTATCATGTGAACCTCTTCCATTAGAAATAAACTCTGATAGGAGTTGTGAGAGAGGTGCAAAGATGAGACACTGGATCAAGACCAAGGAGACAAGCCTAGGGCGTACACTCACGTAGCAAAACACATCAGCTATACAGTGGAAGGAAGCTGAAGGGCAAAAGGTAGCTCATTAGTGCAGCCTTGCCTTGGGCCCATCAAGGGGTCTCGGGAACACAGGGCAACCTCAGGAGGTACGGGGGTCTGGACCACTGACCCACCCTCTCCCCTAAATCACAGGCTAAGCTATCCCTTTCCTCCATCCTCACAGGGACGGAAGGACACTAAACCAATTGGTACACCGCTCCTTGCTTTTGCTCTTGAGTTCCTCGGGAGTAAGTTGATCCCTATGCAGATCTCCACCCTGTTTTCCCTCCAGACCATTCCCACAGAATCCCAAACCTGCCTGTCTTCCCTTCCCCGTGGCTTGGCACCTTTTCAGAGACAAACTGAGACTGTCCACAGGCTTGCGTAGCTACAGTGAGAGAAAGGGTTAGGGTCTACCTACTGTAGCGTACATCTTCTGGCCCCGAACACATGTCTTCAAAACTCTGCCCTGGGACTTGTGATAATTCAAACAGAGGAATGGGCCGAGTGGAGGGAAAGGGTATCTTCCCTGAGAAGCACTGTTTACGGGGAGAACATGGTTCTTCCTGCTCATTCCTAGAGTTCCCGAGTTAAGCTAAAGGGAAGGAAAACGGACTTTCTAAAGAGGGCAGTACCTCGGAAGTTAGATCTGAAACACTGATATTAAACCACGGCCCAGGGCATTCCGGTAAGACTCGGATCCCTTCTCAACACCCACTTCTGCACCAGTAATCTCTACAGATCACTATGCTACTGAGATTCCCAGAGTGATTTTTAAAAAAATATTTCAAACAGGATATCGTATGATGTTAGAAGACCTTTCTTGAAAAGATGACGTTCAGGGCCTGGACCCCTTGCTTAGGTACAGAGAACCCCGGACTAGCCCGAACTCGGCAGGCTGTTAACGGTAACATATGATCCCTTTCCATTCTCGTGGCTCCTACACTTCTACGCTCGTTCTTTTCTTCCCTGAAGTGACCACGTTCTCTTCACTCCTAAACTCCAATGTTCCCAGAGGTACCATTTTTTCTAAATTTCTAAATTTTCATTTTCTAAATTTCCTTGATCTAAATTTTCTAAATTTACTCTTGATTAACCATAGATTTAGCCCTTGCTTTCTGAACACAGTTGTTCTCACCTGTTCAGGGCTGAAGAGACTGAGCTAAGATACATATTTTTATCCCCTTCACAGAGCAAAACCACAAGCTGACAATTTCCATAATTTCTCTATACACTTGAGTCTTTAGAAGGATGGAGCTCATTTAGGTCTCAGTGAACTATTAAGAAAATGTTGGACCCAAATGGTATCCACGGCTCCTTCCCGTTTCTTCCCCACGCCCCAGGAGGACGTCAGCCTTAGGTCGCCCTGCCCTGACACAGAGGCAGAAAAGGGCCTCATGGGGCCTGATCTGTGACCACCTGGATTTGCACCTGCCGGGATAACAAAAATCTTAAAAGGTACACAAACCATAAACCTTAACTTTACCATGGGACACTGATCATCAAAACACTACTTTTGTTCACTGAAAGTATCAAATCAGAATGTATCATTTGAAGAGCAACGTAAATACTCAGAGTTGCCACCTATGATGCAATACACCCAGTTATTCCAGATAAACAGTAATTTTCCAGTGTAAGTATGTTCCATGCAGCATTTAATTGAGCATTCTGTGTTTTTATTTTGCAAAAGTTAGCCACTTTACACTCGTAACAATCTGCCCAGAAAAGCCAAAAAGTAGCTTTTCATTGCCTTTCCACAAGTTATCACTCTCCTAGAAATGTGCTGTCTCTCTTTCTGTCCTCTGTCTGTACGATCAGACAGGAAGCAATAAGCTCTACAAGATGCACTTCCACGGCGGAACAGAGACTATACACCTGCTTGCCCTATCAGACCTCCAACTCCTGGTAAAAAGAGAAAGGTCCTGATGTAACATAAGATGACACAGGCTTAAAAGTAGGGCTCTGCAGTGTCTGCACTGAATTTCAACTTCTGCAAAATAAACCCAAGAGGCAAATTCTCTTATCTGTCTCATACAAAATGATGGGAGAGCAGATGCTTTTGGGAACGACACCATCTCAGAAACAGTTTTGTTGATGTTTTCAAAAGGCCGTCTCCCCTCAGAGATCCTTCAGGACTGAGGCTGATTTCCACCCAAGAACTGAGAAACATTTATAAGCATATTTGCTTTACACCTAAAAACAGCTCCTTCCCCAAAAGCCTAATGATGTCAATGTCGTTCTAATTAATAAGACCTGAGATAAAGAAGAAACAGCCAAGAGTTGGGGAAGGATTAGATAATAAATACTTGCTATCTTGGGCCAAGTACCTTTAAAACAAAGGAAAGAAAAAGATAAAACCTGCCGAGAGGCATGAGACAGAATAGGACTAAAGTCTCATGGGGCACAAAACAAAAAAGCTGGGGTGATTTTGCTTCTGTTATTAACTCTCGTGCTTCCTGGATAGAGGAAGGAACTATGATGAAATTTACCTGCTAAGTCAAGTCCTCACTAGTATGTAAGGAGCAGAAACCTCTCGGGGTGGGATGGGCGTGGGGGACACCAAGCTATAGCATATTCTCCTTTCTTCAAGCAACACCCAGCCAAATGCGCTCAGCACAGCTACAGGAACAGGTGGGAGAGAACTTCTGGTCGAAACATTTGCTTTCTCCCGTGACTGGGTATTGCGGACTCAGCAAAGTGAAGCTCCAACTGCAGCTGGAACATTCCTTTCCGCAGGACTCTGCCTTCTGTCTCTCCAGCAGCTGGGCTGGGAGGGGAAGGATGAGGAGGTGGAGGCACGTTCTGGAGGACTTCTCTCTTGATCCGACAAAAGTCGTCTGGTGTAGTAGATGTTGTAAAGAAATCACAGAGAGCTACTCCACTCCCCTTACACAGGAAGCCTACGCTGACTCCTCCTGAGCCTTGAAGGCAACGATGTCCCCCACACAGACATGTGAGGTTCAAGCACGTCACACGATCGCTTCCTGCATCTCCCTCTCTGGGAAGAACAGCGGGGACTTGGGAGAGGCTCACATAAGCACTAAGTGTTAATCACTTTCAAATTCCTGTCTCTCCTCACCTGCCAAAATAAATCTCCCTCTTGAATCTTGTGTTTGATTTTATCGTGAGGTCACAAAGGACAGAGCCCAGGTATGATCAACTAACCACCCGCAAGGGAAAAAAACCTGATACTTACTTAACTGCACTTCTCAACATGACCTAGTTTTAGGACCGTTCCATGTCCCTGCAATCCCTACATCATGCGTGGCAACCACAGGTCAGGGGGGAAAAGCACTTAGCATATCAACCAATCAAAATGACAGTAGCAATGATTCAGGGGAGGAAAACCTGACAGCCTCCTGACAGTTCTGACCTTGCAAGTATAAATCATCTAGTCCACATCAGGCCTGGGAGAGGGGGGGGCCCTTTGGGAGGGAACTCCAAGCCCAGAACCAGGCCGCCCAGGAGAGGTAAAAACTCACATCAGTGAAAAAGGTAACTAGCCTGCCATCCCTGAATCAGTTTCCTCCACTGCCCCTTTCTTATCAGCTTGCCAAAGGCTCACGGCAGCTGGCCCCTGGGAGTAGAGGTAGCAGCTGTGCCAGGGACAGACAGCTCCTGACATAAGCAGAGGTGCAGGAGCCACTTACCTTAAATCTGTCAACAGCCACCGATGCCTCTGAGAGGGACTTCACTGAGAATGGTGTTACTTTCAGAGCAAAAGTCATGGAATTGAAGACAGTCACCACTGTGAAAGCCTTAAACCAGGAAAACAGGAGAAACTGAGCTTGGTTCATTTGGCTATGCAACTAAAATAGCAAGACATTGCCAATTTCCTCTCAGGTGGTAGGAAGGTTACAACTTGGCTATCAAATGTTACTACAAGTCAGATGCATTTTTCTTTTCTTTTCTTTTCTTTCTTTTTTTTTTTTTTTT